CATTTCTTTTCGTCATACAAAATACGCTGCCCTGCCATGGTCTGATATAAAAATATATGCGGTTTAATCGCTATACGTCGAATGCTCCTAGAACATATCAACACACTAGATATGTGATGAGAAAGTTTACTTCAGTAGAAATAGCCTACGATAGCCATTGGTCGTTGAAATATAGAGCTGCAATCTATCACGTTTGCTATGTGTTTGGGGTGATTGGCTTTCTTGTGAGGTACAGTTGATGTGAGGAAACTTGTGTCTATAACTGAAAGCTTGGATACCTAATCACAAGTTTATATGTCGGAATCCAATCGAGACAATGCTTTGATATGGGAGCGTTATTTGCTCGGGAGCTCCCCTTTTGTAGCTGGTGAGCACGCTTTGAAATTTATATGCTGCACAGATTCAACAATATGTAATTATTCATGTTCTACTGCATGAAAATTCAAGGGTGCCCTAGTATCTTCAAGGAAAGAGGAATCATGGTCTAAAAACATAATACCACGTTGTTGGTATATATTAGATCGGCTCTTGACAGCAAAAATTATTTTTACCGAATTGAATCACACGAAAACCTCGGATCTTAGTCAGTGGACTTGTTCCTTGAGGTATATATTTCTACAATGGCATATATTTACCAATTCTATTAATCCAAGAGAAATATTATCAGATACTTTTGTCCATGAACTGTTATAAACTTGACAGTAAACTATCAATTTTAGACGCATTATATCTCTATATTGATTAATCTTGATTCCGAAATATCGAGCCTGTAGTATATGGCATTTAGTATGCTGGTTAGGCCTGCTGTTGTCGTATCAAGCAGTGAAATCTCTTGTGCAGAGTCAGCAATAAGCCAGAGAAGCGTAGCGTCACTGGTGTACAGACATCCACCAAGAGTAGATCTCAAAATTGTACATTTTCTTGGGTATCACATATCAGTCTGTTGAGTCTATCCATTCGGTACCCAAGACACCAGAAAGTATAGGTATCGTAGGGTGTGTCGAGTGATCTCCAGGATCAGGTCTCCGCCGTGGCTCTCGGACTTCCCCTGAATCTCGACGCAGTGAAAACCAAAGCTTTCATTTATATTGGCAAATTAATAGGTACGCGACAACAACAAACATAAGAACGCTAGCTTCAAGGGCTTAACGAAAATTTTGGTCATTCAAGGTCCTTAGAGGCTTTCCAAAGTTCACGAGCACCCGTATCACATGCACAATCTAGCCACAGCACTGACTTGAGGCTTCTTCTGAGGCTGCTAAAAGTTGTCGTCCGGAACTGTGACAGACAAGTGTGCAGTTGCGACACATACCAGTTCCTCTCCGGCATACCTAACGAAGCCATGCCACCCATGACCAGTATCCATAGAAGAAACCGGCGACTTAGGGAGCTTTGGCTGAAATAGGACCAATCAGTTTGCTGAAGCTCTCGTTTCAGCATTGTTGCCAGACTTTTGAAGGGCGCGGTCTGTTCAGGTAGAGGAAAGATAACCCCAACCCCATATATCATAGCGGCGATGCGGCAAGGTTCATACAGAGATAGCTGCTTGTGATGGACTGCTGCTAACTGCGAACCTTGTGGCAGACTTAAAATTCTGTGTTGGGTAAAATTTCGTTGATCTGCGATTCTGTCCAAATTAGGATTGGCCAATGAGCCCGACATATATTTTTCAACAACAGCTGAATAAGCGCGCATCGCATGGAAGGCTTCGATAAGTTCGGAGGTTAATCCGAGCTCATGGCATCCTGAAAGCACGCGGATTTCGTGTTCATCAATGTCGAACATGGTCCACAATGTCACGGATGCTCTTTTGCAGAACAGTATTACCGGGAAAAAGGCAGGCGAGCAGGCTCTGCTTGCCTCAATAATGTCAGCACTTCATATTACAATTAGCATCCTTGACGCGTTACTTGAAGCATAATAGGATGACATACTAGGAAACAACGGCTCCTAGACCGGGAAGTTCTACCTGTTCGAGGCCTCCCCGTAAGACAACAAGCTGAGCAAGTCCAGCTTGGTGTACCGGATTAACAAGCAATGCTCCATAGATATTCAACCACTGAAGTTTCTTCAGAGGGGCATCGAAAGAAGAAAAAACCTCTTCGTCGAAGGTGGACTCTTCGGCTCGGTTTGTTGCTAAGGCCAGAACACTTAGGATCATTGCATCCGAGATTGCGCGGGTAGGATCTGAAATTATTTCGTTGATCATTCTCACGGTCTCCATCTCACAGATTTCCATCATTTGTTGATCTGCAGTTTCGAAACTACTGTCTCTATTTTCAAGCCAACGGACTCGTTTGTGTGCCAGGGAGGCAAAAGACATGGCCGTGAGTAGTATGGCATTTTGCTGAGTTAAAGAAAACCAGCGATGCATAGGTTTATTAAACGTTGACTTAAAAGCTGCGGGCATCAAGCCTGGCCAGATTATTGAAAGACCTGGAAGAGGCATATTAGCACGCAAATGATTTGGGGGAAATATTTCTCCTCACAGTATGTATTGCATTTGTTCAGAAAGGAGGATCGAAGCGGAACATCAACATGGACTTGAAATGGGTCGAGAAGTCCATTTCCATCAACGCCAAAAAAGCATTCCCGGCTTAGATTGTCCGAGGTTGAAAGTGGGAGCTCAGTGACTGAAACGTGGGATCTGGCCAGATCTTGAACTCTGTCGGATTCATCAGAAGCTTTTTCTGCGATATAGCGATGCTGATGACGCGTTGTATTTGTTCGCCCTCGTCCCCGGATCATGTGGCCGCGACGATGTTTGGTCACCAATCTTCCTTCATATGAACCCCTTGAGTTCTTCTGTATGTTTGTTTCGTCGTCGTCTTCATTGGCAGCTGTTCGCACTGCCGCATCTTGTTTTGCTGGTAGATACCTAGCGTTCCGCCAAGACCACTGCGTTACGTGAGATCGAATGGAGCAGAACTTGTCGGTCCTGTTGGAGACAGCCGTCGGGTCTTCGTTAATAAAACGTAAAATGGGATAGTCCGCGCTAGACATGGCGCGTGTCTGTTGGTCTTCTGGCTGGAGCTTTTCCTAGGCTGTATGAATTTGCAGTCATATTTCTGGGTGGCGGGTGGCGACCCTTTTTCTTTGCTGCGGGGGCCGAATAGGACATTACATAAACACTTTATGAATCGATCTTAACCAACCAATAGACCGAATATCGTACGAGCTAGGAGTATCTTATGCGTCGGAATGGAGGGAAACACGTATCGAATACTTTGAGGAATTCAAATCAGGCACCTTAGACTGCGCGACCTTATGTACCACAGTATACAGATTGCAAGCTACCGAGAATGCGCAAGGGGTTGATCTGGATGACCGTAGAAAGTGCCAAGACTTTTGATCACAGAGCTCACCTTTGTTCTCACATTAACTACGAACGCCCACGTTCCTTACAAACAAGCAGAAACGTGCGGCGAAGTCAACTGATCATTAATATGTTGCTATAATTTGCTCATAAAGGCGCCTTTTTCCATAATAGATCCAGTTCCCGACCGTCCCCTCAGTTCTGCCTTTATGAATCACTCAATATGAGCTGAGTCCGGCTTCAGGCATAAGATCCGCCCAAAGAAATGAAATTTTTTCATTCCACAGATGGTCATCCGACAATGGAATATATGAGCGTTTCCAGTGCGGGGACATGGACCAACACCAGCGTTTTCGAAGAAGAAAATGTATACAAATATTATTTCCTAGCCAATAACTTGCAAAGTTATTACTTGAACAAATAATAGTAGATTCATCATTGTGCTCTGGCAACGAAGATTCACATTTCCCGACTAGTTAACATAGAGCAAGCTGGCATGGTTACCATCTTACTGCAGAAATGGTCGCCAACGACTACTAGGATACCATCCACAGCGATTCTAATTATGTGGATTCTGTTCTTGCACATACCTTGAAATAACAGCAGTTTCTCAGAATTCTTAATCCTACAATATAAAAGCTTCTATGGTTCGCCAACCAACAGAAATAATAAGGACAAGTACCACCAACATATTCAATAGCTCGAAAGATGCGTAACACTTTATTTCTACAAAATGGCCTTTTATTTTAAAGCGGAAATGAAAAATTATATCTCTTCTCCATGCCGAACGACTTGTATTAATTTATTAAGTGGAGTTCTAATTTGTCCTCAGACTGGTTATAACTGAACAGCAGTAGCTCCGGTATCATGTCTTGTATATTCGGGATTGTCTTGCTCTGTTTTACAGAGAGTCGGAAAAAGTTTCGTTGTCCAGCCGTTGACTGGAATATCCTCAATATGACACAGTCTGTCAACAAGTGTGGATGAAGATGATACGGGTTGCGAAGAAACCTATGCCCACTGTTGTGTTTACGAACATCGTTGCAACACAACTTGGAAATATGAAGAGATAATGGTATGAAAATGAACTCAAGTGAATCAAAAAAAGCTTGGAAAGCTACACTGTTTTTCTTTGTTCGTGATGCCTAATAAAGTTAAGAACTCATTTGTCGCCCAAGGATTTGATCGACGTCTCGCTGACTTCTGTGAACAGAAAACTAGTGGTCTCTCTGCACAGTTGCTTGTCAAATGTCTGCTCAGTGTGAACTCATGAAAATGTGTTGTAACAGGATGCCTCTTCATGAGAAGACAGTTTATGGTTGGCGCGAGCTTTGCACGATTTATGCGGCCGGTGAGGGAGATGAAAAAAGGAAACTCGTATGCGTTGAGAAGTTTGGGGAGGGATTCGGGTAGAATAACAAAAGGAGGCGAGAATGAACCAAAAAGAACGCGTCGGTCCACTCGATTGTTTGTCATGTCATACATTTGTGCGAAAGCTGCTTGAGATCCTTCAGTGTCAGTTCAGACGACTCTTGAGTGCAACACGAAGTAGATTTCGTGGGCGCGTATAATAACATTGCCTCGTGTTATTACAGCACTAACTTATCAAAGGATTTTGCATTTATCGTAGTCGTGTATGGAAAGTAATTTTTGACTAACTATTTCTTGTGATTGCTATTGGCCGTCAGGGTTCACGGTTGACATCGAATGTTCTATGTAGATGCACTTGTCCCATTGGTACGGGGCTTGTGTCAGGAGACTGTATAGTGGTCCCCGTCGAGTCGAAATGCGCTGTGACATTTGTACAGTTTGCGCATATTTCCGTTCTCGTATTTGCAGAATTCATGGTGAAATTTTCTGGGTTGACGCCTTTTCTTTCCTTGCCATCGTGGACTGAGTGGACGATACGATCGTTGTTAAAACCTAGTTCAACGAGTAGTCTGCGTGGGGTAAGGGAGTACACTAACACATCAACTAGACCCGAACTTGCCATCATCGTACCAGCAACGCAAAAATAAAGCGCGCTGGGGCTGCGGTTCTTGGTGGTAGCCATGCGACCAATGGCAAGAGGCAGCGAGAGAATGATGTACGCTATCGGATAGATTGCCATGTATCCAACAACGCGACGCAGCTGATTGAGACTTTCGGAATGTCTGTTTCCCACCAGGGCCGACTGCGTATAACGGCGATGAAGCTGCAGGCCCATGGCTGTGTAAAGGCAGACGGTGCCAAATTCCGACAAGAAAATCCAGAAATAATGAGTCCATAAACGGATCGACTCGTAGTCCTCGCTAATCCAACACTTTCGTTCATTTTAGTACAATCTTAACACATCAAAAGTTCAGGATTGCTAACCCAGGCACCAGATGAGAGAAAAACGGATCTTCCATGAATTCCAATTGGAATGACCGTCAAGATGATGATAAAGAGCCACAGGCCGACAACACCAGAAACGAACACTCGATGTTTCAGCCGACGTCTCATTGCAACCAACAGGAAGGTGTGAATAGCAATTGACAGCACAAAAAATCCGCTTGAAGGATCCCCGATTTGTAACCAGAGCCCCTGCAGAATGCAAGCGGCTGCGGCCGCTTCGATCCTACTTTCTGCAATCCATTTGTAACAAATCATGAATGCGAGTGACTGTTGCAAATCTGCCAATATTAGATTGTAAATGAGAACAACATACGGATTGTAGCCGATATACTGTGCGTCCTCTGAATTGCAAAAGATCAATTTGTATGTAATAAAAGAGATCAGACAAGAAGTTGCGATAGCAGAGAGGATAGCCATTACAGCGACTGCTATTTATCCATTATGCAGAGAATTTGGAGGCGGGCCGCAATCCATGATCGTAATTGTCGCCGCTTTACATTTGTGATGATAATAGTATTTTCCGCTCACCATGAATATTGGATCCTCAGCGTCATATATATAGTTTAAAGTGAATAATATTTTTCAAATATCAGATAACCGTGCTGCTGACATGTTCTCGGCCAGTTGAAAGAAAATATCACTTATCATGTATCCATCATGAAATAATTATACGTCGTCACCATTGAGTAAACAGATTTTTAATTAAGCGCATTTTTACAAAGGTTTCTGACTTTGTTGGCCTCAACTAGCTGACATTCTGGCTGGTTTCGCTTTGATCATTCGCTTCGTATCAGCACGTTGTGCGTTTGTGGAAACTTATGTTGGCTTTCGAGGTTGAAAGTTTTTAGATTCCCGTTTTGACATTATACCTCTGGTATATATTATTCTGGTATATATTATCTCGGAATCAGTTAGGCATTTTCCTTGAATTGAAAGTAAAAGAGGCAGCGTGCAGTTGATCGTATAGCGCGAGTTTCTGCGAATACTAGCCTAGCCATATGATTATGCTTGCCTAGCATGCAAAGTCGGTGTATCTTTCTGTTGTTCCTGGGATTCTTGCCCAACCGATGAAGCTAGCCCAATTTATATCACCCTGCTCCTCGAAGACAGATCCGAGAGACCCTCTGCTTGTATTTTCATTCATTAGCAATAAGGTTTGATTTAACCTATTTTTCTGTGGGGCGAGATTTACGATGTAATATTCATGTAATAGTTCACGTAATTTACAAAGGGCTAATCAACCCAAAAACAGGGTAAATGCGACAGATTACGATCTCAATTTGGAAAATGGGGCCGTCATATGACCTTCAAAGATATCTACTCTCTTCTGTAATCGACCCTTGGCAACTCGTGCATCAGCTTTAACCAGTTCCAGAACGCTGGCAAGCTCTCGGTTCGTGACCGTATCGAACAACGAAGGCTCGGTTGACTCATCCTCATTGAGTTCAGTCTTCCCCCCAACTGCGCCGGTGTCTCTGTTGAGAACGTTGTCCCGATGGGGAAGGGGGGGGCCTTGTTTCCGTAGTTCCCCCCTTCCCCAACGACCCTTCTGCTTTGGAAATTTTAATCACTTAGGATACTTCAACTTCGATTGTACTCCAACTGAGGTTTTATTAATTCTTCGGAGGAAAACGGCTCTAGCTAATTATGATTTTTATATTTGAAAGAGGGGCCTTGTTATCTGCCACGACGCACTTAGAGAGAATTAGCTGAAAACAACAACATAACCACGGTGGCCGCTATTCTTGGTCCAATTCCTGGAATAGTATATCACAAACAGAGGAATGTTGCTTATAGCTCGGATCACCACAGGTCTGTCACAAATGGCATCCATGCAAGCTATAGCATATGTGACTACGTTCTATTCACTCTAGCTTTATGGGAATCTTTGTGGATGACCATTTACAGTACCAAGCCCCTAATTTACTGCACAAGAGAGAGCATATCATAATTGATGGAGATGCTGGGGAACGGCCGGTTTCCACGCCATCATCAAGTAAAATAAACAAAGGTTGCCCCATTCGGTGTTACTTGTTCTCCAAGAGGGGAGATGTTCTTTCCGGACGAAATCAGACATTATGCCGATCTTCATTTAGTTGCAGGCGAATCTTGCGGTAGTAGAGATGCAAGCAAACTAAATGAGCGTTGATTATGTACCAAGATCAGAGTATACGATCAGGAGCATACAAGGATATAATCTTGGCACTGGAAAACGTAGATGAGATGTTCAGAAGCGCAGGCATTTCACAAGTTGCAGGGAATAAACGGTCGTTTTGAAATAAAATTTGGCGTTTGTCAAGAAAGTCGCCGGCACGATGTCGCATTTCTTTCGGCACAGAAGACATGATGAAAAGACCGATTGCGAGTCATAGTGTGAGGCAAATCATACTTGCGCACCAACCTTTTTCTTTTCAAAGAAGGCCAGGACTAGATGTGCGATAATTTCCGGATCAGTTTCCGCAGCAAAATGTCCGGCATCAAGTAAGTGAATCTCTGCGCCCGGTAAGTCCCTTATAAAAGGATGCACGCCGGCAACAGAAAATATAGGGTCATTTTGACCCCACACTGCCAAAAGTGGGACCTGAGTCTGACGAAAGTATTTTTGGAACTCGGGATAAAGTTTCACATTGTTTTCATAATCTTTGAAAAGATCCAGCTGAATATCTGCATTGCCGGGACGTTGCAGGAGAACATAATCTAACCAGTATGACTCTGGCATGATCTTATGTAGGTCCGTACTTCCCTCTTCATACTGCCACTTGGTGGCCTCGAAAGTCAGCAAGGCTTGTTTCAGTTTTGATCTTATGTTGGAAGAGTTGCCACTGGACCAATAGTCTTTGATCGGGTCCCAAAATGACCCCAGGCCTTCTTCGTACGCATTACCGCTCTGGGTGACGATTGCCGTTATGGCATTTGGCCGTTTTAATGCGATACGCAGAGCAACAGGCGCCCCATAGTCAAATATATATATCGCAAACTTGGAAATGGACAATGCATCCAAGAATTCCGCAATAGTATCGGCTAATGTGGCAAAACTGTACTTGAACTCGGACGGCGCCTCTGTGAAACCGAAGCCGGGAAGATCGGGCGCAATCAGTCGGTATTTTTGCGATAAGAGTGGTATTAATTTGCGATACTGGTGGGAAGAAGATGGAAAGCCATGAAGCATGAGGAGAACGGGTGACGTGGCAAGCCCCTGTTCGCGATAGAAGAGCTTCACGTTCGAGGAAGGGAGGTGGAGATGAGTGACTCGCATGGCCATGGCGAAAAAGAAATTATTGAGGTATTGTTGGATACTCAGAAAATATCCGAGAAGGCCGTCTATTAATAGTGAGCATTCTGACGAAGCATGTTTGGATTACACTAGACTGCGAGAGTTACGTACTGCATGATAAATAATTAGGCTACAGTGCGGGCAGGCGTTAGATAGCCCTAATGGCACTGTTCAAGTACGGTAATTTGGGTTGCGGAAGGCAGCGGACGATCTAGCACAGCGTCAATAGCTTTAGGGGCTTGAAAATACATTTTCAATTAACTAACTTAACTAGTTAATTAGTTAACTAGCTTACTCATATTACATAATTTGTGGCGTCCTCAAATCAGAATGCCAAAAATCATTACAACACTTCTACATAGATAGCTTAATTAGAACTCAGACATTCCGGGTGACCTCCGGATTGGGATCATTGGTTGCATTTGGGTACTAGCGTATACCAGAATTCTCGCTTCCCACCAAAGACTGGTCTCAAGAATGAGTATTTACAGTAATTGACTTTGACTCTTATTTGCTAAATCACGTAAGTTTTCACAAAGATCAGTAATCAATTCAATTTGGATGTCCCAACTCTTCGAATTCTAATCCGCTAGCTTATCGCACTTGATCCGCGCTCTATGCTTCCGGCTTTACTGCAATAAATACAGCCATTAGAATGCTGTTTCGTAGTGTTCAGCTACTCAGAACGTAAAAATTAAAAATTGTAATTTTTCTATATATTTGTCATTTCGGTTTAATTGTTTTGCATTACTAAGTAATTTATCAAATCACCAGTTGTCTTACCAATGAGGATATTAATAATTTGACAATGTCAGATGTTCTCCAGGTATTAGCGGTTGCGAACAGGGATGTCATTAAGCTGCTGAACCTGAATGCATAAGCTGTCTTCTCTAAGAAACGAATATCTGAAATCTGAAATACATACATGACGAAGACGTGCCCTAATTACATTGTTTCCTGTTTGGTTACAGAAGTCTCTTCATAGCACTTTAGCTAATATGTGGATTGCAGTGGCCTCAAATGATCAATGGCAGTCAAAATAGCTGACCAATTTTACAATACCCGTTGTACCTATATATTAACCATGTATCTTCCCTCCCGCCCACGTTGTTATCTTCATATACTCAGTGTTAAACATTGCCCTCGCAAAATTCATTTCTATAACTTGTTCGATATCATTCCTTTCGATATGACACCTGAAATCACTCTTTATAGCTGGGCTACTCCCAACGGGGTTAAAGCTTCGATTGCCCTCGAAGAGCTTGGCCTGGTGTATAGGAACCGCCCTGTTGATATACATACTAATGAGCAAAAGAAAGAGTAAGCTTATCGCACATCAAATTCAATAAGCCAGGGTCTTACGCTTCTTAAAATGTCAAAGATGGTTTCTGAAAATTAATCCGAATGGGCGCATCCCTGCCCTAGAAGACAAGGATGAGCGAGTTTTCGAAAGTGGAGCAATCCTGCTCTACCTCACCGACAAGTACGACCTTGAAGGTAAAATCAGCTATCGTACCGGAACACCGGAGTACTATGAGCAGCTTGGATGGATTATGTTTCAAGTCGGTGGTATTGGACCAATCCTCGGTATGTTCTGGCACAAAAACAAGAAAAGATATTCTCTTCAGATTGGTACTTGAAGGGCAATAGTCACGGCTAGCACAAGCTAACCTGTTTTCGCGCAGGCCAGGCAAATCATTTTCGGGGCATGCCATTAGTGAAGTCGGACTCTGCATGCATTGCCGGTCAAGATTACAGTGTGGAAAGGTTTACAAACGAATCAAAGAGACTTCTAACGGTGCTCGAATCTCAATTGGCTGGAAGCCCCTTCCTTGTTGGTACAAAGTACACTATTGCGGATATCATAAATTTTACGTGGGTGAGGCGTGTGCCAACCATTCTGGGTGCTGATCTTGCTCAATGGCCTGCGGTAAAGAGATGGGTGGATACTATTGAACAGCGAGAGGCAGTGAAAAAAGGACTGTCCATAGTTACAACTCCGTTTTAATGGCGACGTTAATAACTTTCTTGTCGACTTCTGGCTCATTATTGCGATATTGAAAGTTGTAGTTAAGCCAGAATGAAAAACTTTCCACTTTTGCCCAAGATAATTTGTGAGTTGTTTCAGGAGTGCCTCATTAGTGAATGAACACAAGAGAGAAAGGTTTGGCTATACATGGAGCCCTGAGGGATGATTAACATGATATTCGTTTGCATATCAGCTAGACACTGAGGAACGTAGTATTCACAATATTCACATCGTATCAAGCCGATATGTTTTTGTATTAGATGTTGTAAGAGTGACTACTAGATTTTTCCAGGATGAACCCCGGCAGTGGCCGAGCAAATAATAATCTTGCGTGGATTAACCACCGGAGACCCGAATTAGCCGCAATAGCTATAACGAATTTTGTTAATATGTAGACCTTAGAATTCAACCAAGGCTCTTTCTAGTTGCGTATTCTTCATTTTTTCGCAGGCCCTTTTCTTCGATTCTACATGAACACTAAACTAACACCATACACCATCAAAACTTTCGTCGTCCCAGCAACAACTGTAAAGCCCTTGTCGCAGAATTTGAATTTCCAAGTGTCCTTTGATAGGCAATTTTCTGACGTGGAAAGTATATCAGGTCATAGGGAAGTAGGGCCGTAGTGCCACACTCATAGATCTTCTCCCATTTTACAAGTTCTTCGTCTCCCATTTGTCAATCGCCCAGAAAGCGGGCCGCTTTGGATAATAGTGCTAAGGCTAGGAGAGGGTTCAGCAAGCATTGGATACCGTCGTGTCTATAGTGCCTTTCAGTTGTTGAATCATATCTAGTGTCAATGTGGTCCGCGATCCATCCGTATATTCGCCATCTGAGACTTTTACAAGCGCGCGTAAATCGGCACCGAATTTGGATTCATCGCTCCAAAATGCGAAATACTGGAATCTCCACAAAATTTCTTAACAAAGGTTTCGAGAGATCAAGGCCCACGTGACTAGCCCTGTTTGAAAAATCTCGCTCAACAGCTAACTTTGGCCGCGTGTGCTTTCTGGTTACTTTTGAGTAAAGGACATGTAGGCGATGATGGAATCCAGGACAGCAGTGTGTCCGAGCAAAACGTGAAGGTCACGACTATGTCGACCAACTTCGTGAATGTATTTTGGATCGGCATAGTGTGCAAGGTAGTATAAACCATTGATACTCATCCGGCCCTTTTTAGTTCTTTGTAGATGCATTGTAACACCACATTAGGCCATGTATCACGATATCGTCCAAAATTCGGATCCTTTTTTCGCGGATCTTCGCTTATTTCTAACGAAAAGAAGGAGAGCAATGTATACCCTTGACAAAAAATAGAGAAGACGGATAGGAGGAAGAGACGGTGTAAATCAGGTGCACTATTTTATCGTGCAGACCATTTAAAACTATCTCATATTGATACATACTAGAAGACAGTAAATCTCACGTTTTGTTAACTTTGATATCCTGCTGGGGAAAATTGTAATTCTACCTGCAGAAATGAATCTCCGCTCTAATAGTCTACCGTCTATTATCGTGCCCGGCTTTGTAGATCATTGATTTTCGATTTTCCAAAAGCAATTTAAATCACGTTCAACTTCATTGAATATTGAATTCTCCCAAGCGGGCCCCTGGGGATTGTCTGATGCCCGACAATCTAAAGGCTGAAACAGATGAGATAATTTGATCGTTTGCAGATACAACAAGTCTGACATTATATTTAACAAATCCAAAGTGTTTAGAGGTTCAGAACATCCAAACGACAACTTATGACACTAATTCCGGTCAAATCCTAGAACGGGCTGAACAATTTTTATGTACAAGGGCTTCCGTAGCAAGTCTTTCTCTTCCAGCGCTCTGGCAAAAGCAGAAAAAGCAGGGTTATTCTGGTGAAATTCGATCGCCGCAAAGTCTCTAAATCTAAATTTCCAAAGTTGTATAAGCATTCTTTCGATAATCAATTTTGAATCCACCTACCTCTCAATCATGAAGATATCTGGTTCTTCGTTTTCTTCATGCCTTTCTCTGTTGGCGTGAAATGAAAGACAGTTTGGCTCCAACGACTTCACCCCTTTTATGAGAGGGTCGTTTATTAGCTCGAAGACCTGAACAAAATTGTTAGGGATTATCAATCTCAGAAAAATTCTTACGGGAACTAACCTCTTCGATTTTGCCCGCACGAGGGCTAATAATCGCAAGAATGGAAATTGATCCAACTAAACACATTTTTGGTACCGAAGGAGAGAGATGGATATGCTTCTTAGCATTTAACTTTATGGGTTAACACTTATATTTTTATATTCGCAGAGTTGCCTTCATTTTACGGCTCTTTCATGGCGAATTCCGGCAAATACGCGGTGAATGGTCACGCTGACGGACCTAGCTGAATTCAAACCTTATTATTCATGTACGACACAAATTCTCGTCGGGGTTGTCTTCAGTTCACAAGCAGTATTTTTGGGAAACTTTCAAGATTTTTGGATTAGATCATCCAACGCTAGTTGCATGCTTCTGTTGTTGTAGATGATTACAGCCTGCGGTCTAGACCATGCCATGACGAATAAAACCTAAAATCGCGTAATAAAGGAACACCCTCCCACAGTCGTAAGGTATGGGGTTACAGCAGCATTACATGTCTACAGGAGATATGTCAACATTCGAGGTGGTAAGAACCATGCGGCTTGCGTAATATTTAGAAAACATGGCTTTTGACGCGACAAGTCTTAGTCAGGCTGAGACGCAGATCTGAAAATCGATGGCTTAGTCAAACTTATGCATAAAGTGCCTTGGCGGCAAGCTTTGTCCCGCAGGGTATTATAAAACACCTAGAAACCCGACTTCTCACTAGTATATTCTTCCCTCTATCTTGGCTAAGTGTCTAATCTTTTCAACACCTTTCTTCATAATGTCTCTTGAAAAGAGGAATAAAGAAGTTGTGGCGAAGTACTTTGATGAATACTGGGCAAAAGGAAATGTCTCAGTGGTCGATGAGCTATGCTCTGATGACTTCCTGATGTGTTACCCCAATCATGGACCCCGTCATGGGAAATCAGGAGCCAAAAAAATGCTCTCTGAGTTTCGGGAGGTTAGATTGATACCTGATACGTTAAAATGCTTTGTGATTGACAGGTTGATCTACTAGGCTTTCCCGGACCTAACATTTCGTGCCTACCAAACGCCGATGATTGCAGAAGGAGATTACGTCGCTGCCCAGTGGATCGGTGGTGGTACTCACACCGGCGTCGCATTTGACGATCTGGTAGTTGGCAAGCTAGCAACTCCCAACACAGGCAAAAAGATACATTTTTCTGGAATCTCCATTTTTACTCTGAAGAATGGCAAGATTACTCGTGAAATTGCTGAAGAAGGAGGATTGTCTGTTTTACAACAGCTGGGGCTTGTGCCGCAGCCAAATCCGGGCAAGGAGATCAAATATGATGTGGATGGAAATCAAATTTATGCTTAAATGTCGACGGCGTGCTGTCAATCGACTTGATTCTATCTGTGAAGACCAAAAGGGAAAGTCAGGATCAAGAAATTCGGTTTACACTGTTTCCCTCTCTTTGTATTTAGTTTGCCTGCTTTCCGTTCTCTTTTTATTCTTCTCTTCTCAGTTTGAAGATTCTTGGAGAATGCCACTTCTTCATCTTCGTCGAATCCAACCCTCACACTATTGCGTTAATTTTGCTTTTGCACAAACCACGACGATAATGAGGAATTGGCAGCTTTAATTAACGCCGTAGAATATGCAGAAATGAACAAGAAGGATAGACACCGAGGACAACCACCGTATATACTAGGTGGTCTTAAGCAAGTAAATTGAGTTGAAATTTCTCTATCCATCCCGCTCCACATTATTCTTTTTCCAGTAGTAAGACCCAAATTTCTTAAGATTCTGTGTGGTGTCCTTTAAATATGTCTGTGACCCATCCGCGTCTCACTAGAAGATTTGAATTACTCTCATCGTGGCTTGACGCACTAGGATTGTCGTAATCATTACGGTCATTGATAGTTGAAAAATACAGGAGCCGCTTCCCTCCCATTGAAAGCGTCCTTCTCAAGAAATGTATATGGGGTTTCTTTTCTTTTTCTTTTCTCGGTGCGCAAAACCGGCCGGCCGCTAAAAGCAACAAAAGATCTAAAAAGATCTCAAAATGGGCAGATTTTCTTGGAATGGATGAAATGGTCCCTGTTTCAGATTGAATAATCTCTATCGATGTCTGTGGTTTCGAGCGTTTGAGGCCATTGACCAGCCCGTTATTATATCGTTGTTCTTTATCTTCTGATCAGTGACTCTTTTTTTATACATCGTTAGAAGGAACATCCATCTGAAAATTGGACTTGTGGAATGAAAGATCTAAGTTCGACAATAACTTTTACCACGGAATAGACTATACGAACATGGAAGATCTCTTCCGAGACTAAATGAACGTACCTGAGCAGAGAGACATTTACCGTGATGTGTTTTAGTAAGAAAGTGAAGCATTTACCGTCTAATGATTTCAGGCTGACAGCAGCGATATTACCAATCCAGAGACACGTCGTTTATCATCGCTTGCCCGTCCACCGCGTTCTTCTCCAAAATATTGTCGACCAATTAGTGCATTTGTCGCATTGCGAAATATTATTTCAGTTGATAATTTAATGACGTAATGTCTTACCAAATCGTGTTTGTTAGTCAATTAGTGGCTTTATTTTGTCATGAACCTAATCAGGACAGTAAAGGAAGAAAGTAGTGATGATTATTTTTGAACAGACTGGGAAAATAATATGATAAAAACCCGGCTTCTTCAGGCCTATATTAGCTATTGACTAAGACATCAATAGCTGTATCGCTTTCGACCTTAACCTTGACAATGACCGAAACAATTGAATTCTATTCCCACAGTGAGTCACAAAAAAAGGAAAACAAATAGTGGAGACTAAATATCAAGCAGAGCAGGGCCCAAACCCTTGGAAAACAGTCCTGATTTTTGAGGAGCTCAATATCCCTTACAAGACAACCTATCTCGACTTTGGTAACGCCAAAGGCGGCGTTGAGCACGCTGAATTTCTTCACAAGAATCCTGCGGGACGTGTGCCTCTTATTGTCGACCCAGCAAGTGGTAAGTTATGCAAATTTGAGTAATTGGGAACATTTTGGTCTGTTCTTGTTCCTGACGTATCCGTGTCTAGGACTCGTTCTGACAGAGTCAAATGCGATTGGCCAATACCTGGCAGATCGCTATGACAAAAGTGGTCTCTTCGCCACTGAAGACGACTTGGATCGATACAGAGTCAATCAATGGCTAGGATTCCAATCAAGCTCGCAAGCACCGTTCGGTGCGCAGGTTTGTACTTTTTGCAGCTATTGAGATGTTGGTTGTTAATACTATACAGTCCATTCAGCTGCGCAATAAGGATAATATCGAAGGAGCCGCTCACTTTCACGGTCTCGTCAAACGAACCCTGCGAACCTTGGATCAAGAGCTGAAAGGCAAGAATTATCTTGTGGGAAACAAAATCACTTTGGCAGACCTGGCTTTTGTTCCCTGGGATCTGATACTGGACTTTGTTCTACAAGGAGATGATGAAGCCAGTACCTCCGACCAAAGAAAGATTTTGTTCCCAAATTGGTATAATTGGCATTCAAAACTGGTGGAGAGACCGGCGGTACAGAAAATGATGGCGATGCAGAAGGCGGTGAATACAGCAGACCAGTAGCAAACTCAAAAGCTATTTTACTTGAACAATGCCTGTCCTCTTAGAGCTCTTGCCCTGGTAGATATATTTGATTATTTATCTCTTAAACTAAGTAACTGCATTTTCCTACTGCCTTTTACTCATAGTTGGAGACTACTCTATTGGTAAACTTTGCGAAAGTTTTGCGGACTAAAACATGTTGCGGCCATAGACTTGGCTTTTGTGACGAAAACTGAGAAGATCATTTCATGTTTAGAGCATTTGTTAATCAAGATACATAATTTGAGAACATTGGGCGTAAACCATTCCCCTTGCTCAGCACTTGGCGCACGGATCGGTAGTGGTCCGGGAAGGTTCCTTTGAGTAGGGTCTGGGATACTGATCCGTACAAAGAATGAAATACTTTGATAAACATGAAGCTTTGTCTTAATATTTCGTTCAAATACTCTGCGTTGAAATTCTCATTGAAACGTATCATCGCTCATTAATTACTTGTTCGACTGTACACTGAGCTAATCACGGCTCCCCAAACCTACATGGATATCTTAGTACTCAATATTTGTTTCTCACAAGTCGCGCTAAATGATCAGAACATCATGCTGTCGTTCCAAAGTTGCATTTCGGGTCTGCCAAAATTAGTCGAGAAGCAAATTCTCAAGGAGTAGGACGTACAAATTGCATCCACGGGACATTGCTAGGATCATTTCGTGGTTGATTCCGACGTGCATCCCACACAATATTTAACAAGGCAACAGGCGTCGCATTGCCAAAACCTGCTCGAGATTTGATATCATCGAGTCGTATTAGCACATAGTGACGCGCATGGGCTTCTAATGTATCCACACCAGCCAAGAACAATGGCATGACTAGCAACTCGATCAAGCCGCAGTCACTTGGTATTTCCGAGGCTGCATTCAGGATAGCAGTGACTGATCTCTGGATAGCGGGTGTCTCAGAGGGCTCAGTAACGTCCAAAAGCCTGGAGGTATGCAAAATGCAAGCGTGACGGAAAGCCTCGGCCACTGCGACCCAGCGCGGGTCATCATTTGGATATAAACTGTGCTCCAATTCCCAGGTTTCAAATCGGGCTCGGGAAGCTAGGAGAAGCTGTTCATATTGCGATTTTTGGATCTCCCCAGCAGCCAGTGCTTTTGCATAGTCCAATACGTTACCAAGGATCAAGAACAGATCCCGAGGACAACCGTTGACCCGTTCAAACTTAGCGTCGCTCAATGTAAAGATAGCCTCTCGAATCTCTGATGAAAAACAAAGACGTTCCGGGTCGGCAAGGGACCGAATAATATCCAACCTTTCACCATTTGAATCAAAGAGGGCCAACGGTGACAAGAATGGACTACTCACCAGGCCAGATTTCCCAAGAAAAAGTTTGTCCGCTTATCACTGCGGGATAAACGGTCCGATAACCGTAGAGTATGGCAAATTGACAAGGCACCGGTAATATGCACACCGTGTGCCGAAATGCCCGTTTCGAAAATCTGTAAAGGCGACCTTCAGCGATGAGTCGACGTAGCTTGAATCACATACTAACATCAAGAAGTAAAAGTATTTGGATTGTAGCAAAAATGCCATCTCGCTCATCAGCACCTAGCCCCTCGGAAATGCCATTTTTAATCGTAAGACCCAAGCAGTGAATCGCTCTTAGACGGTAGTCCACTGCAACGGTGCCACTAAACTGACTGTTATATGTTGAGATCCCAAGATGGCTTGCAGAGAGTGCTAAAACTGCATACAGCAAGCCAATTTGCTTGTGAGCCAAGGGTAGGACATAGGTTCGATACGGATTTTCCGCCTCGTTTTCTGGAAGTGCAATCTGATGTGGACAGATTACGTCGACATCTGTTCAGAATTATTGTATTAGGCACTCATCCATATTACCCCAGACAAAATGACATACAGTGAGATAAAAGCAATTCTGTCTGCTTTAGCTTCAAAATATCATCTAAATTCCCAGGAGCATCGTGTTGAGCGAAATTCGAATCATGTTTTGCTAAACCAGATGATGATTGTGGAGTTTGAACTGGTACTAAGTTCGGTTCGGGGTTGGTGATCCTAACAAGCCGTCGCTCGTAGCTTGGCTTCGAATCGACAAAGTTTTGCGGTCGGGTATCTTGCGACGGACTGGGAGACTTTCCCACAGGAATGACCTGGTCCTTCAGTTTCCCCCGGCTTGCCAAGCCACAAAATCTGAAACGATCAGGATATCCTTCGCAGCGAAGTCCCTTCGAGATGCATCGGTGACAAACAGGGCGGGTACGGTCGCAACGACGACCTTTTTCTCGGCATGTGAGACATGCTGGGTCGGACATATTTTATTACTGAAGTGGATAGTTTCCCAAAGCTTGTTTCATCACCATAATCCAATTCTTTCAAGAACTTTGTGATTACTTCGTGGACATTGTGAATCATGCCAAGATCTCGCTCTACTGAAGAAGGGAAAGAACGGAGGAATCGGGTGCGAATTTCAGCACGTGACATTGTGAATCTTATTGGAGCATTGGTTCGTACTGACTCACGTGGTTTTGATTGCGATCATGCTTAGTCAGGAAGCAATCGACGGGAGAGACACGAGGGAAAGCGTCCAACGACGCATCTGGCCCGCTCTCGGGAGTGCTTTCCAGTTCGACTATGCTATTGGTTTTACGGGTTAGGGCAAAAGAGACTCGAAGGTAGAATTTGAGTGCAACTCAATATATGCCTAAGACCGATCGCTGGGGCCTACAGCTGAAAGTACCCAGGAATTCTCTTAGAGTACCTTGCTCATGTGGACCGACCCACTCCTCGTAGTACTTTATGCAACGATGTCTGAAGCATATATATGTTATTCCGTGTTTGCCTTGCTTTGCTTTGGCTCGAAGAAGCGCAAAGACATTTTCAACGCTTGTATTGTTTCCATAACCAAGTCTTTTCCTTTTTCATTTTTTATATATTCTTTTTCTTTGGAATCTTCAGGGCTCTATTATACAGATAAATAAAACCCACATCCGGGGACAGCAATAGCACCCAATATAGTTGTCATGTGCTGGTTGGAGCAAAACCAAACGGCCGTATGGCTGTACAAGTTATCAACTGCTAACAGGACAGTGTACTTAACCTGACTAGACGGCATCTTCCTTCAAGTCATTATTTTCTCCAACGTCCAATGCCACACAAAAACGCGCCACCATGTTGAATCCTGCGATAGTAGCCGTAAGCTCCACCATTTGTTGGTTATTGAAGAATGTTCTTGCTGCCTTGAAGACTTCTTCGGGAACTTTCGCGGCTTTCGTCATTGCGTCTGCATAATACACAACACTGAGTTGGCGATCACTCAGTCCCTTTGAACCCGTTGCTTGGCTATCCCGGAGTGTCTGCAGTCCGTCCTGACTGACACCTGCAGCGGCAGCAATGGGTGAATGGATCTCCCATTCGTACCAGCAACCTGTCAAAGATGCAACCCGGCAAAAAGCAATCTCTCTAACATCGTCTGGGAGAGAATTTCTCGTTCGGAGGGCAATCATGAACGCATTGAAACCATCTGTAATGGACGGTGCGTGAAGAAGAGTTCGATCCAGAGGGATTAAGCTGCCACCGCGTCGTTTCAAAACCCGGGTAAGGATTTGTTGATCCGCTTCGTCGACAAATTTTGGTTCCTTGGAAGTGTATTCAAGACGCATTTTTTTTCTCGTGAGGTAGTTGTAGCATAAAACTGGCTTTGACTGGAAAAGCTCAATCTGTTAATATGAAGAGGAATCAGACTTGCTCGACTTGACCCGGAAAGCACGCAATTTATAAACGGAATCAAGAGTCAATGTTCAGGCTAGAGCGCAGCCTAACGTGTACGAATCCTTTCTTTCGGCCGATAAATCAACACTCTTAGTAAAGTTTTTACTTGTCACTAAGAGGAAAAATCTTAACATCAAGCCAGTTCGTTTTTCCGCAAAACTTCCGTACCTTTGGCTCTCAATTTGAGTTTGTGAAACGGAGTTTTCATCATAAAGCTGAAAGGTCTCGGGCGAGAAGTTAATAAACTGGATGATCAGCGAAATCATGTAATTTTCGCGATATCTGTGCAGGCAGCGGCGATCTGAATGGGCAATTTGATCGCAATTTGCAATAATAATTATAGCCCGAAAAGGTAAATTCGAAATGTCTCACGTAATTGTGCCGCAGGGGACCCACATCTGAAATCAGCTAATCTGAAAATAATACATGGCGTGAGTTGGTAAGTTTTAAGTATTTGTGACCGCGTGTGACGCAAAACGCTTCCCATGTGTGTAAAATAAAGCTAAATTCCACAATACATAAAGGGCAATCCGATGCAGCAAAGCCCGCATGTCCAGTGGTTAATTCATTTTCGAATATTTCAGGCCTGGGCGTTTCTCCCCTTTCCTTGAATTGCAAACTAGGATCAGTCAGACTACCGGATATCCTGAGCCGTAAGTACCCAACGCACAGTCTCCCAGCCTAATATTTTGAGGCCCATTGAAAAGCAAATCGCTCAAACCCAGAGAATTCTCTCTAAAAGCTTGATTACTGATTCGTTATTTCCATTATCAATCAGTCGTGCGTCCAGGTCTACCAACCCAACATGGCGGAAGAACGAGCGAGAAAACTGCGCGACTTACATCGACCGGGAAAACCTGTCATTTTCGCCAATGTTTTCGATGCCCCGACAGCTGAAATTGTGGCCGAAAACCCTGCGAGTGAAGCTCTTGCTACCGCAAGCTTTGCCATCGCAGCGGTTATGGGCGTTGATGATGATGCACTTGATCTTGAAACGAATATTGCAGCGTTGCGACGTATCATTCCAGTTGCATTGAAACATGGGAAGCCCATCACAGTGGATATGCAAGACGGATATGGTGATCAACTTGAATCAGCTGTTACTAGGATCATCGAACTCGGGGCCTCGGGATGCAACATCGAAGACCGTGACAACTTCAGTGGCCAGTTGCTTCCCAAAGAGATAGCTGCAGACCGCATCAGACGTGCCTGTCGCGCTGCGAAGAATGCTAGAGTCCCAAGCTTTGTCGTTAATGCTCGCACGGATGCTGTTTTAGTGAATAACGATGTGGAAGATGCGGTAGATCGCGGAAAAGCGTACCTGGAAGCCGGTGCAACTACAATTTTCGTCTGGGGAGGGTTAAAACGGGGCCTGACAAAAGCTGAGGTTATATATTTCTGTCATGGATTCGGTGGCCGGTTAAATGTCATTGCCAGACTCAATCCTGATGGTTTAACGCTTCCTGAACTGGCCGAAATTGGGGTGGCTAGGGTGAGTGTTGGACCAGCTCTTTGGCGCCAGGCAATGTCTGCCTACCGCGAGAAGGCAGAAACGTATCTGCTGCAGGGAGCCGATATAAGGAGGTAATAGGTGCGAGCTTTAAATCAATCTATCTATACCCCAAGGGAAGGTGTTCGAATAGATATCTGCCGCCTCAGTAGCCACAGAAATAGCGGTCAAACATGCAATAGCAGCCACAGGTTGACCGAAACAAAAGATAATTCGCTTCTATACTGTATTTTTTCTGATGAATATCCTCAACTACATCTAGGCCTGCCACAACACATGGAGTGGCCAATTCTACGGTCACGAGTCTCCATTCCGAATAGTCAGCGAGCAAATCCTTCAGGAACTTTCACCGATTGATCAATTTCGTAGAAGCATTTACTGCACGACCACGAGTAGGTTTCCTTTCTGATCCTTAAATTAGTGAGCTACGCCAATCCCATTTTAGTTCATTTTGATATGTTTTCAATAAGACTGAAAAGTTGTATGCTTTGCTGTAATCGTTAGACCATTTGAAAACATTATTCAAAAGTGAAGCAATACTTCAATCCGATGTAAAGTGACTTTTGTCAAATTAAAATCGCCGGCATAAACTCAGACTTTATTCAGACAAGACAGTATATCCTGCATCATTTTTAACCATTCTCCAAGGGCCATCAAACACACTTTTTCTGCTTAAAAGCATCCCTTTTTGATCAAACTTGACACCTTCACTCTCTAAAAGCTCACGCTTTGCCTGGACCCTGGACCCTGGCTGGGAACTGGCCTTCGACTCGAGTTGGGGCCTTTTCCTCGACGGTTGGGATATAAACGGTTCTTTTTTTGGGTGGGGGAAAGGTGGTTTCTTTAAAGCGTCACCTTTGTATCCATCAATGTAGCCACTGGTTGCAATACACCTGTGGCATGGAATTCGAGGGGCATTCGGATTGGTGCGTAATGCATTGCCAACAGCGCGTGGAGATGTGTGCAGAGCGCGGGCCAGTGATCCGTATGTCGCAACTCGTCCAGGAGGAATTTGTTCGATAAGATGAAATACTCTCTTCTGAAAAGGGGTAAGAGCCAACTCGTCGTCTGCTCTTATCGTGTCCATTGTTGGCAGATCTGAACAAGTCAATCGATAGTAGAGAGACTCTCGGTCAAAACGCTAAAGTATCCTCCGCTTATGTGTTAATGAAGTTCCACGAAGTGGTTGCTCAAGGATCGAAGCAACTCTTGAGTCCACCATAAAATGGTGGTCAGCAATATTCTGGCTTTTAGAGTTTGAAATATATTTGCCGGGACCGCTAAGTTACGTAGGAGACTCAGGCGCATTGGGTTGGATGAGTCACATTCTATGACAAAGATTACGTCATACTACGATCCATTCTCTGTTAAAAATTAGATCCCCATTGCTAATCTATTTGGGAGCCATATACCATAAGAGGTTAGCGCCTATAGTCAACCTTCGTACGAAGTAATATTTGCACTTATTAATTACCCTCTGTATTGTATTTACTGAAACACTGGCAGAATTTTTCATTTGTCTAGAAGGCCTACTCTACTACTGCTCTCAGCCATCTCCTTTTTACAGCTTGTTTTGCAGCCTCCATTTCAGTGCCACTTCTTACCATTCGCATCGTCTGTTTGTGGTGATATCGTTAATTCATAAAGCCTGCATTCGCCTCCCCCCTCAAAATAATGCTCGACAGGGGCACAGCTGGACTTCGTGTCTCTTTGCTCACCACCTACATTCGCATAGAACATCCTGGAATGTAAATAATGCGGCGCTAACTCATCAACACCATTGAAGAGTTCAACAAAAAGATAAACAAATAACAACAGCATCTTGAAGGAATTAATGTTTTAAGTCAATACTAAATAATCATTACCGGCCTGAGGCTTGAATGCGAAAACTAAAGGTTTAGTCATGAATCTCGAACATTCGTTAAGAAAGATGATGTGCGAGAACGACCAGTGTTATTCTCATATACACATATACACACGGCGGCTCCCGATGAAGAAATACTACTCCACATTGAGGCAGTAGCACTGGCAGCGTGGACTGCACTATAGGTAACCTATATCAGCCAGTGGAACGACAGAGAGACCCGACACATCGTAGCCAAACTCCATTGCGAACAAACAGCTTTCGCAGGATTCGCGCCCCAGAAAGGGACAGAATCTGGATATAAAATCGGTAGCAGACAGCTCTTCGTGTCCGCCGTTTGTTACATTTTTGTATTTGCCCAACAGTCGATTAAATATTCTCATGGGAGTCTTTCTACCACCGCAAAGTTCTTTAGGCCAGGTTTGGTGTTTGTAAGGGTTAGTACGCCAGATCCTTTGTCACGAGCGAACATACATCTTCAAACGAAACGCGTCTTTCTCCGGACCCCAACACTTGCTTACTATAAGAGCCAGTCGCTTGTTGTGTGTTTTGTCTGAAGGTTGGAGAAATACATTTCACATCCAAGTTCAAAAGTATACCGTCTTCGGAGTCGTTGTAATGCCAGACTGAGCAAGAACTTGGTAATAATTGCACCTGGACCTCGGAGTAATTGCGGGACAATTAATGCACAATCCATGTTCCAATAAGTTTCGCTTCTGCTCGATGATGATTTTCAGATGCTATTTGGCACATATAGATTTATGTTTATTGCTTGAATCGAACTAACGGAGAGTCACCAATTCTTCGGCACTAGTGGGATGGATGGCGACACAGCTGTCAAAATCTTTCTTGGTAGCCCCCATTTTGACGGCTACACCGAATCCTTGGAGCATTTCAGCAACCCCAAGTCCTAGTATATGCATGCCAACAACCTTCTCCCCAGGGCCGGCACATATAAGCTTCATTTCGGTCGGGTTTTTAATCTTGTCACCTTGTGTCATAACATCGTAGAACAGGGCCGTGAATTTCGTATGGTAAATTCTGATGTGCTCGTTCCCGTAACGTTGGCGAGCCTGAGGCTCCGTCAATCCGATCGACCCAACTTCAGGGTGTGCAAAGACGACTGTTGGGATGTTTTCATAAGACAACTTCGCAGATGCAAATTCGGGAGGGCCAAAAATGCGGTTACTTAGTTGGCGGCCTGCCGCGATGGCAACTGTAAGATCGATAAGTGAGAGTGCTTTATTCTTACCAATTGTCATACCTGGGGTCAATTCAGCTTGTCCTGTCACGTCTCCTAGAGCATATACCCCTGCGGCTGATGTGTTCTGATACTGATCCACCTGAATATGGCCGGATTTGTTTAGCTTCACGCCGGCTTTCTCAAGTTGCAGGTCTTCGATCTCTGGGTTGCGGCCAACAGCCCACAGTAGCTCATTCACAATCATCTCAGAGCCATCGTGGCCAATCAGCTTTAATAGCTTATTTTGGCCTTTTCCATCCTGGAGTAATTGAACTTCTTTGAACCCTTGATGTTCTCGATGGATGACAACACCGGCAGTCTCATAGCGGCTTGTCATTGTAGTCTGTATCATAGGATCAAACTTTCTCAAAAAGGTATTGCCGCGAATGAACATGTGTGTCTCGACATTAACAGCTGCCATGACCCCCGCTAACTCAACAGCAATGTAGCCCGCTCCTACTACTGCAATCCTTGGGGGAGCTCCTGCAGTTCAAAGAATCCATCACTAGTGATACCATACTGAGCGCCAGGTATCTCCGGAATATTCGGTCTACCTCCTGTGGCAATAAGGATATGTGGTGCCGTATATCGTACTTTGTGATCGCTGTTTTCGAGAGTGACCTCGACTGTCTGCGAAGTAACAAAAGTGGCCCTACCTTGCACAAGGTCGATATTTTCTTTCGTCCAATTCTTCTCGTAGATACCATTAAGTCGCTTGATAACTGCATCCCGACTTCTTTTGAAGTGGTTATAGTCAATAGAAACATTTTCGGGAATTCCATATCCATAATGTCTCCCAGCATCCATCATTTCGTTGATAAGCGCAAAATTCCATGTCATTTTTTTAGGAACGCATCTGAGGTCTCGATCAGAATTTTGTCTTCAATACAAACAATAGTAAGATACAGGGGATCAGTGTAGACGATATGCTCACCCCACATTCACACAGGTGCCTCCGGAGCGCCCGCTCTCTATGATTAGAGTCTTTGCGCCGAGCAATCCCGCAGCGCGTCGAGCGCTTCCGCTGCCGCCGCTACCCCCACCAAGCACGATGTAATCGTACTTCTTTGTATCCATGAAAGATATTCCAAGGTGATCCATAGGGTACTGTTGAGTCAAATCTATCTGGGCCAAGACGATAACGAAAGGAAACCTCCGTTTTATCGATCCGTTGTATCAAAAGGCGACGTGAAAATCTTTCAGATACGAAATGCACCTGACAAGTGCGAAACAATTTTCGAGATTATCGATTTGAAGAAGTTGAAGAGGTTAGAGGTGCCACGGTATAACTCTGAAGTAGGAGTCGGAAGAAGACGAATATTTCAAACTGACTGTTGGAGGGTCGAGGGAGTTAGATATCTTTGTATCCATGCGTACGGAATTCTTATCAGTCAATAACTTGATATATTACGGCATATCTGGCTTCATTTGTAACCTTTCTGCCCAACTCTATTTACAACGGAAGATCGCCTTTTCTAGACTTAAATTTTGTTTCGTATTACGTAAATCGTTAGTACTCATTAGCTCATGCATACCCTCGTTATTAGCTAATTCAAAACTGCTCGGTTACTCGGGAAACTCGCGTCTGTCATGTGTAGAAGTAACATTGTCGTTACTGAAATTGTCGCTGCGCCCGTAAAGTTCTTAAAGAGCAAGCTAATTCCACCAAAGACTTATTGTTTTTTTTCTGCTCTTCTTGGTGTTTAATAACCAATCAACTCTTTTTTGCTCTCTATACCAAGGTGACATTATGGCAAAGTCCGCTCCTGCGAAGGTAAATACAAACCCACAATATCTTCAGTCACATTGACTAACAGTGTAGTTTACCCTTTATACTTCCACTGCTTCCCAGTGGGCGTATGTTCCGCACCTGGCACTCGATCAGAAGGGGTATAATTCTGACGAATACATAACCCGACAAATTGACCTTGGTACGTGGATCCCCTTTTCAGGGTGGGGATTAATTTGAGAGGAGAGTTAATGTAGTTGCTGTAGTGGATGGGGAAAATTTTGCTCCTGAATACGTCAAAATTAATCCGAACGGGACAATCCCGTCTTTAACATCAACATCTCTGCAAAAACCATTGATTGAAAGCACGGAAATTCTGAGCTACTTGGACTCGCTTCGTCCAGAAGGACCTTCTTTATTCCCTAAAGATGCCAAACAACGGTCTAAAACCGAGCAGTTGATTGCACATGTGCATCAGTCAAAACTTTCCACAAACCTCATCCTCCTTCAGGCACGCGATCCGCAGGAATTAAACGCGAAGAGAAACAGTCCTTGGAAAGATTTCATTGCCAATAGGCAAAAAAAACTTCTTAAATACAGTGTTTCTCACCCGGAGATACCGCTTTATATTTCTCGCACGCACGAAAATGGAAAACTGAACCAACTCTACAACGACAATGAGATTGGAACGGAACATGAACTTTTTTTTCACGATTCACATCAGGGCTATAGAGATTTCGCAACAGGTCTTAACGAACTTGATTCGATGCTCGTTCTCCCTTACGCGGCCGGTGACAACATCACCGCCGCCGATTTGCACATTGTGCCCTGGTTGGCTCATGCTTTGTGGGGTGCTGGTGGGAATGCGATATATGATTTTGAACCTCTAGAGAAGCTCATACAGAAAACTGTTCCAGATTTTGTGTTTGGAGAAAAGACGAAGACATGGTGGAAAAACATTTCCACGGTAGATGCGTTTAAAAAGAGCTACCCCTTCCTACACTAAGCTGTGTGGTGACCTTCGAGCATCCGTCACTTGATCAAAAATAAAGCCAATTTTCATTTCCGCCCCCTTGAATAATTTCATTATACTTGCACATATCCTGAAAAGCCATCGATGTACTATCACGTGAGTAGTCGCATGCGCCGTAAATGCATGTGACACATTGTGTCTTTTTAGTAGCATTATCAGCTAAACTTACGAACTTACAGTATGGGTTCCGAGTTACAAGTGTCTGTCATTTTTAGGTTATGCAGTATGACTGGTGATCTCATGATCAGAATTAATGACCGTCTTGTCCCAGTTTGCTTCCGATTCGAATGACAGTGCACCTTAGCAAGACTTGGTGAGCAATTCAAATCTATAAATACTCATTTTACGTCACCATCATGAACAGCCTGGCATCCGCTATCAGGACAACTCAATTGAGCTATTTTGCGACCTAAAAAAGAGCCTATCCGTCATTTTAGCGCGCCCTAAAGACGAGATAGAATGAAGTTCTTTTAGAGCATGAACTTACCGAGTATGATGTTTATAAATAGTTGAGTAAGGTAAGTGACCACCATGGCTTGTCAAAACCAAGACCAATAAAGCTAAAATGGAGATTGGCAGACATACTCAATATCTCACTCGAACTACGTCTTCTTTAGCAGCGGAGATAGCGCTGCAGAGAACGTCTCCCGGAGCTAACGCAAGACGAAGGCAGAGTAATTGGTGCTGATCCAGAGAATCTTCCTGATAGCCCAAATTCCTCCGAGCTTAGTTGGAAAAGCAGGAATCGTCATTTTACGTGGGCTTACTTTGCGTTGACAATGGCAACCGGGGGCTTCGCCAATATCTTCTATTCAGGTGAATAACCTCCCACCGATGTGTATCGTGCTTCTAATATAACTTATCAGTACCATATCGACTTCAAGGCCTAGAGGCAATAGGGATGGTGACCTTCATCCTTGATTTAACTGTATATATTTTCGTTTGGGGATTAATTTTAACCCGATTCTATTATTATCCTCACACATGCAAAGCCTCTTTTCTGCGCCCTACAGAGTCTCTTTTTGTTTCAGCATCGGCCGTCTCGCTTGAGACGATCATGATTAACATTTGTTAGTATGGTATTGATCATACTGGCCCATGGCTGGCTGAGACAATAAACATAGTATTTTGGATTCTTGCGGCCCTTGCGGTGCTATTTCAGCAAGCATATATGTTCGTCTGTATGTGTGAACAAACAGAGTTTTGAGTTAGCTACTAATATTTCCTTAGCTGGTCAACACAGACATTTACCATCGCCAAAATGACCCCGATATGGGTTTTCCCAGCATATCCCCATGTTGATAATAGGGCCTTTGGTCGGTGCTCACTATGACAAAATTGAGCCCTCATATTCCTTGCCAACAATATTAGTCGGGTTGACCATTCAAGGGGTTGGATTTCTGGTTTCGTTGATGGTATATTCCGCATTTATTTACCGGCTCATGTCACACAAACTGCCCAAAGAGAATATTCGTCCTGGTATGTTTGTCTCTGGTGGACCTAGTGGATTTACAGTCGCGGGTATGATCAATTTAGCCTCTGGGGTTGGAAGGTCTTTTCCAAAAGACTTTTTGAGCAATGGGCCGGTAACAGCCGCTGTTTTTACGGTTATAGTTGATTTTGCTGCACTGTGACTATGAGGGTACGCTCAAATTGACCTCATTTTATATATGACAAAGCTAAAAAATTTAGGTTATCTATATTCTTTTTCCTAATTGCAAGTTTTTCCCATTGGTCTGTTATAGGGTCCGGGAGACTAGGTCGCACTGCCTGCAAGGAAGTAGCTGAAACGAGTCCGCGTAGCAATTATCCAACAACAACTTCATATAGTGGCGGTTCGAGGTCGCGTTCAGCTCGAGTTGGCAATACGTAATAGCTAGAGCGGAATCTTTAAGGTATAGTATCCAGTAAAACGAGATGCGACGACGATCAGCATCGAGGACGGCTGCCGTTCGGCTAGAAGCCATTATGCTCTTTTATTGAAATCGGTACAATCCGGTGCTCTTTCGTTTGTATTGGCGGCGTCGACGTGTCATCCTGTTTCCGAGAGAAGTTGTGAAAGTAACGCTCTATTCTATGTGGTGGGACGAGATTAGCTCACCGACTCATTACCAGCGAATGGGGGTCCAACTGTACAGTAGTTTGCCATACCTACAATCGGAGATATGTCGTTCGGATAAGGCAGTGGTGCAGTGGCCCGAACACATGGCTGGCAGACATGAACGCGACGATATTTGAAAATGTCTGGCAAGGGAAATATAATGCAGTAAGAAATAAATACACACATATGCGTCCTCTGGGAGATTTTGCGATGAAAAAAGATACGACTTGGTTGATGTGTCAGCCATTACATGTGGTAATGGAACAGCTAAAGCAGAATATATGTATGGTTTACAATTAATTTCCGCAGTTAGTTTCAAAATACTTCCCACCAAAGTAAAGGTATATCTAAACCCGAAGTTCGACTTGCATAAGATTATATTAATTGCTGCCGACAATACAAATTACTACTTCAAACGGTAACTGGGGTTCCAAGAAGACTCAATCAACTCGGACGGCGTGGTGATCTTGATATCTGAGAATTTCGCATCTAGTGGATCGTCCGTCTTCACAAGATACCCTCCTGTGCCAGAGATGTAGTGAAATCGAGCGAGAATCGATTGCGTAGACATCCCAGTGCCCTCCAGCCCGGTCTCTTGAAACTCTGGAAATGAGATCTTCCCATTTCGTAGATCCTCGATGCTATCGTACGCCACTGAGAAGTGTTCGCCGCGTGCTTGCTCTGCAAGATTAAGGATATCCTCGAATGTCGCTGTATTCCCGATAATACAGCTGACGGGAGACCACGAGTCCAGGTCCATGAGTCTAGCTACAAATCGAGCCATGTCTTGTGTAGTGATGAAGCTTACTTTTGCAGATCCGTCCCCTGGGATGGCTGCCCATTTATCCTTCACATTCACCGCATTAACCCATGGGTGCAGATAGCTTTTCCAGTAAGGGATACCATAGTAATCTAGGAAAAGACCGTTGACGACCCGGGTGTGCTCCAGGGTTGTCCGCTCGACTGCTCGGTCAGCATCGAGAGCCCATTTGGCTGGGGCGATCAATGGAACATGTCTGTGTTTCTAATGAGTGACTGAACGATAAGTGATTGAGACAGTTGCTAGATGAGACTAACTCTTCCGTGTATGCTAAGTCAAACCCGCTGACGACGAACCGACGGGTAGCTGCCGATTTTTCTGCCGCCTGAATGAGTTGCAGTTGCGAAGCACTAGTCGTCTCGGATGACATGCCAAACGCACATATAACTGTGTGGATATTCGCTTCTTCGAGGATTTTGGCCATGGAATTTATATCTTCGTAGTCAATCCGCAGGAAACGTAGTCGGTTCCGGGACTCATGATTCTAGAGTGATTCTTAGTCTAACAATGTAGTGGCATATTGGAAATTCTTACTCACCCTGCGTGAGAGAATAACGACTTCCTGGTTCTTTCGGGCAATAAGAGCCTCGACAATCGTTCGGCCCACGCCACCTGTGCCGCCTGCTACTGCGATGATTGCCATTTTTGATTATTTCAGGTGTAACCACCGATGAAGTATGAAACTGTAAATGTCTTGCTTCGCAGATATGCTCGGAAAGTCAAACCGAAATGCGGTAATTGAACAAACTGTGATGTTCCTGTGATTAAATGTCGGTCGAGTTGATGACACGTGATAAATTACCAATTATTGGGGCCCTAGCATCAAGCTGATTCGGCTTCCTGGATGTAACGTTGAGTGGTAACCCGGGAAACCTCAAAGATATCTCAATACATCCCCGCTTTAGCACACATCTGTTCGATATATGTCTGATGCAACTGGATTCCTCTAGTACTAGTTAGTACGTAGATCTGTTGAATCAACATATTTAATAAGAAAGCCGTAGCGGTTAGTTATATTTTCCTTTGTCGCCGAGGCTTTTGCAGCCTGAAATTTTCTCCAAGCCGTTCCAATTTTTAACTTTGCTAATTTTTGTGGTAGAAAGCATCTGGCACATATACTTGTTTAGAAGCCTGGTGGGTCTGCTGGTCTAACTTCCGTTTACAGTCGATATTTCAGCTAGGATCGACATTTCAGTTTTGCTGACTGATCCTAGACCCCACACTGTATTATCTTGGTTTGCAGCGGGTGGGCTAAGACCGAGTGATATCGTGTCAACGTGACAATGCGATCAAAACAGACGTCGCACTAACTTACTGAGCGGACACGCTAGCGTTTCTTTCTTGTTAGAAATTTATGGCAAGTCGAGAAATTAGCATTCTTCCGAACCCACGGCCGTTGGTTTAATGCGACATTGTCGTCAAATTAGGTCGGATAAATTAAAATTTCCCGTAGACCTGGTTATCACAGAGAACAACAATATCGAGGAATAAAGTCCTACTCTAATTGTCCTATGTATTTTCAACTATGGCCTGTCGACTTACTGCTTCGCTCAAATTGTGATTGACGAAAATTATGATAGCTCCCATTGATTTGAAGAAACACACGTTTTCGTTCTTTAGGTCATTTACCATTCTAAGTGCCGCATATTTGACATCAAAGAGTGCACAGAAATTCAGAAATTTTCGCACCTATAGTACAACATTTAGACCTGGTAAATTCTCTCGAAACCAATCTCACGATTATCCACATGCTCCAATTACAATCAAATAAATTTTAGCAGATAGATGATTTCTTATTGTCTGCCTCAATTTCATTTTCCGTTTCGCAACGATCACAAATGGAATACCCAGAGCAGATTCAATTCATACTATTCATCGATCTTTAGAGCGACAGCTCAATTTTACTAAAGACTGACTAGGTAAACTCATAAGAAGAGCGAAATTGAAAGAGAAAAAAATCATCACGGACCATCTCCGCAGCAGATGGTCGTATCTGGTCTCCTAGGCTGATTCTTAAAACCCCCTTCATCTCGATCTTCGCCCTTTTGAGGCCACAAGATATGGCGTAGGGCAATAGCCCGAATCATCATTCCGCAAACAAAGAGATACATCAAGACCAAGGGAAACACCATCACACACCCCACAATGTTGATTGCTTTGCAGGAAAAAGCTTTCCCGACTGCAAATGTCGCAGTGACCAGCGCAGTGTTGGGAAAAACAAAACTGAACCAATTCATCGAAAACGATAATCGCCCTGGTCCAACCACAGACCAGTGGGCGGATGTTGCAGCGAGGAAAAAAAAATTGCAAGCCTAGATCTAGTTAGTATTGTGATATTCAGCACTATGACATCGCACCTTACCCCCATAGCCACAAAGAAATGAGGTCAACACCAACAAGGAAAACAAATGCCACCATTGGCCCGTTCCCGAGGAACTCCTTCGGAAACACTCGTGAGGCTTCCCTTGCGAGGTTAATCATGCCCGTGACCGTGAATCCACTTGGGCCCACCGAAACGAACATCCCCGGCCTTATATTCACCCTGGGAAGTTTTTGTGACATAAGTCTGTAAATAAATGCAGAATATACCATTAGAGACACCAAGAACCCAACGCCTTGGACAGTTAGTCCGACTAAAATTGTTGGAAAAGATTGTTGTGGTTCCAGCTTGCTACACAGTGAACCCGCCAGCGGTCCAATAATCAATAGTGGATACGCTGGGAAAATCCATACTGGCGTCATTTCTGAAATTGTGAACGTCTGCGTGGACCAGCTACTCCAAGGTCAGTTTCTCTTTGTAACCGGCGTGATTCAGGTGTAGACACACAGAAGTACGTATATGCCTGTCGAAAAAAGAATTGCAAGGACAGTGAGAATCCAAAACAATATACTGACTGCTTCAGTAAGCCAATAACCAGCATGACCAATTCCGTATTGTGAAATATTTATCACAATTGTTTGCAGAGAGACAATCGAAGCTGGAACGAACAAAGACTCTGTGGGATGGAGAAACGAGGCCTTAAGTGTATACGGATAAAGACAGAATCTCGCAATAAGCAAAATCCAGATAAGAATATATAATACCACATCCAGCAAGAACGTCACGACTCCAATCGTCTCAAGACCGGAAAATCGATAGGGAACTGTTATGAAAATGAACTTAGAGCAGCGCATGCTATATGGTAATTGTTTTTTTACCAGAGTAAAAGACGTTGGCTAAACCACCGGTTGCCATGGTGAGAGTGAAGTAGGCCCAAGTAATATGCCGTATACGCATTTTCCAGCTAAGTTTTGGCATATTTTGGTAGGCGGAATGTGCTGCATGTGCACTGTTCGCGCTATCTCGAGGGGGGGAGAATGCGTTGTGATGTTCTCTGAAACTCTACACCACTAGCCATAGGAAATGATAATCTAAAACTCTTTTAGTATTGCGGTTGAAGATCTTAGAATTAGACGCTCCAATCATGCGCGGGATTTGTTGAATGATTGTGGTTTGTTTGAATATATTGAAGGATATGTACAGTTAGGAAGGCATACCTGGTGGTGACGACTTTTGCCTCAATTTGCTAATAACAAATATAGCCAAAAGTTGTTATGATCGAACTGGATCAAATTGATTGCCCCTAAGTAGAGAAGAGCAAGCAATTCTCATAGCAAAATTCGAAAAGAGAGACATTCTTTGGGTGGGATTTGATCATTTATGTAATGTATTACGGGATAGTCAACGTAATCCACATACGAGCCGTCCACACAAGCGACCCGTCCATTTTCACCTCAATTTTATTAAATCATCTTCAACGCGTCATTTTTCTACCACCACCATACAAAATGCCTCTTTCTCAAGAAAGTCGAATTCAAATGGCTATTATGGCTTATTAAATGAAGAAATCTCGATCCATATCAAGGGCTGCTGCAGTATTCGCGGTGCCTAAATCCACACTTGTTGATCGACTCAAAGGAATCAATCCACGGTCGGAAACTCGCGCCAATAGCCATAAATTAGCAGCTCCTGAAGAGGAAGTCCTTACCAAGCAACTGCTAGATACAGATAAACGAGGCTTTTCAGTTCGACCTGAGTTCTACGTGGAATGGCACAAATATTACTTCGTGAGCGAACAAAGGATTCTACTGCGACCATTGGGATTAAGTAGGCATCCAACTTTATCAAACGCTGCCCAACGCTACGTAGACGATACAACCGACGTATATCATATCAACGTGCAAAACAGGAAGATCCAAAGGTTATAAAGCCTTAGTTTGAGACTGTACGCGAAGCTATTCTTGAACATGGCATCTATGAAGATGATATCTGGAATTTTGATGATACTGGCTTCGCAATAGGGCTCTGTTCGACCTCTAAGGTTATAACTGCGGTCGAGCGTAGTGGAAAACCTCGCAGGGTTATTCAGGGGAACCGCGAATGGGTCACAATCATTGAATGTGTGAGCTCAAAGGGGATATGTATACCCCCATGGATCATCTCAAAGGCAGGATCTCAACATGCTACTTGGTATCAAGAGCCTGCTCTTTTCAATAAGAGCTATGCTATCGCAAGAAGTCAGAATGGCTGGACAACAGATAAAATTGACCTCTGCTAGCTAAAAGAGATATTTGAACCACATTCTAAAAACTATTCAACTAGTGCAAAGCGATTGCTTATTCTTGACGGTCATAGTAGTCATCTAACTACAGAGTTTGATACAATCTGTATAGAGAATGCTATTATCGGCCTTTGCATGCCTCCTCATACCTCTCATCTTTTACAACCACTCGATGTTGGTGTATTTTATTCGCTAAAGCGCGCATATGGAAAACTAGTAGAAGAGATGATGGTTGCCGGCAACAACCATATCGACAAGGAGGATTTCTTGCCTCTCTATCCACCTGCTCGCGAAAAGGTGCTTACTGGGGAGAATATACGCAGTGGTTTTGCAGGTGCAGGACTTAACCCGCTAGATCAAGATCGGGTTCTTGAAAAGGTAACTTTTCAACTTCGGACACCAACACCACCTCTTGTTGAAGTTGAACACTCAGTCTCCTCTGCTTTCAAACACCTCAGAATCCTCGCCAACTCGATCACAAGGTACGCAGTCTACAGAGAGGCCTTCGAAAACGAATTCTTTCTAGTAGTCCAGTATCTCATATTCAACATCTTGAAAAAGCTGCACAGATGGCAATGAATATGAATCTTATTCTTCGACAAGAAATCAGGGTTCTACAAGGTGCGAATAAGCGGAAAATGCAAAAGCGGGCAAGGAAGCGTGGTAATATTGGTGATGATCTTGTTTTATTTGTACAGGAAGGTCAGGATCGAGTGCAACAGCTTGATACGCAGCTTAATGAGCCGGCCCCTGAGACGACGCCAAGGCCTCGCCAGCGAGCTCCACGACGCTGTAGTGGCTGCGGGACTACTGGTCATACTATAAGAAATTGTCCTAGTAAATAGCTATTGTCTTATCTTTTTATATGGTCTAATTTGATACATTTGTGGTTGAAAAGCTTGAAATTTGACGGTAGGCGCGACGAAATTCGTCAACTCGGTGGTTGATTACGTTGTTAAGATCTCTTACGTAATCTAGTCCGGATCTGGATAAACACCACTCTGTACGTAACTAATTATTCATGATGAGTCAGCGTAAAAAAGCTGTATTGGGTAAAAGAGATGGAGTTCCCATCATACGGGATTGCGTGACTCCGAAGGCTAATAGAGTTACGTTAATTGCTTACATCATAATCGAAAAGATCATCCCAAACCTAAACAGGAGGCTTTGTCCCATTTCTGATCAGCAATGTCCCTGTGCGATCTTTAGCAAATACTTGACTCATTGACACCATTTATGACTTGTCGTAATACGCAATCGGGCGAGAAGCAAACGTTCGTGTAGAAATAGGTCAATTGCCCCATGTTTTGCGGGAATTGATTACTTGCATATATCTACTGTCTTCAGTATACTTCAATATGGCCAACAGCGAAGAAGTGTCAATTCTAGCCATCATCAGCCCCAAACCGGACAGAATCGATCAAGTATGTTCGACGTTAGAATCGGGTCTTTTCGTCGAATTGAGAACCATGAACAATGCACTAACTTCGAATTAGGTACTCGAATTGATTAAAGACCCCCTTGTCGCGGGAGTAAAAGCAATTGAGCCAGGTTGTATCTCTTTTCATGCAAATCGGGCGACAGAGGAGCATACCGACGAAGAGGAAATATTTATGATTGAGAGGTATGCTTGAATAATCTACCAAGCTAAAATAAACTAATTCGAATGTTAGATTTGTAAATTCCGATGCGATTGCATTTCATCAAAAAAATCCCGCGTTCTTGGCTTTTGCCAGGGCTTTGGAGGAGAAAGAATTACTACAGAAGCCACTATACATCAAGATCGTGAAACCTGTAGCAGGATTTGTCAGAAACTAGCACAAAAGGATTAATTCGAAACCTCCAGTTTTAATTACATTAAATATGAATCAAATCGAAAAAATTTCACTCAATTTGTGAGCCAACTCAAGGCATGGCTCATGCAAGCATGCTCAATAATATGAAAACTTGTCATTTTTAAGTTCACTACTGACTAGCTACAGACTGGTGGCGCATTGAATAATAAAGAGAAAATAAATCACCAGGGAGCCTTAGCAACGGCCTGTGCGAATCCAATGATCTTGTATATTTTTTAACGTACCTGACTACGAGATAAGAAAAATAAAAACAGTTTGTGAAAGGCTAGAATAATAAAATTCTCAAATTAACGAGCCAGAAAAGGCTTGAGGGTAGTTTAGAGTCTAAACACCAACATAAGCATTATAGTTTCTGTGAGACTTATGCTCAACTTTTTCCTCCAGCACCTGACCCGAGATTTTGCAGAGAGGGAAATTTATCCGAGCCTTCAAGCAGATTGACTAGCCAAGTCTTGTCAGAGAAGTTGGTGTCTGTAGCATTGATCGGATCCGAACTTTGGGCCAAGTGCTCGATGTAGTAGTAGTAGTAGTAGTAGTAGTATTCATTTGCCCGATTTAGCTTGCTTATGTATAGCCGCTATGCGGGAGTGCAGTCGGGCCTGCCCGACAGCGAGAGTGGTGCGCAGCACCCCGGCGCCCCAATATTACTGAGAGCCCAATGGGCTCTCAGTAATTGGTCATGACGCCAATCATGAATTTGAAAACGTAGAAAAAACAGAGGAAAGTAAAAAATGCAAAGAGCGACTAGAGAAGTCACATGACAAAGGAAAATAGTAAAGAAAGTCGGATCTCCGCCCCTTTGTTGTGGTCGTGTCCTGTCCCGCATCACCGAGATCGTGGCCTTCACCAGCAACATGCCAAACTCCGTCGAGATCCATTGCGACAGCCGCGCTAGTCGCCTCCCCGGTGGCCCTCTCTCTGGCATCCCCGAATCACCGAGGTCTTGAATCACCAAGTTCGCCAGAGTGTCAGCCGCGTGGCTATCCTGAATCACCAAGACCTCGAATCACCGAGCTCGCCCGTGGAGGCGACCCTCTCTCTGGCTTCCCCGAATCACCGAGGTCTTGAATCACCAAGCTCGCCAGTCGCGTCAGTCGCGTGGCTGTCCTGATCTACCAAGTCCTCGAATCACCGAGCTCGCCTCTCTTTAGATCCCCCTTTCCCCCGCTGTCGGTCGAGGGCCTTCCTAATGATCCTAGTTTGTCTCTCAAGGGGACACGGGGGACCTGGCCCCGTGAGCCTGTGACATCCACATTTCAACTGCCACCACCACACTGTCCTGGTTGATCATGATTGCTGTTCTGCGTCTTCCTCTACCCCCGTCGCTTGCGGGTCGACGAAGTGGAACTGGCCAAGGAGCTTCGTTTTCATTATAAAGGCCGTGATCGCTGGTACGGCTGGCTTCTGCTGGATGAGTTCGGTAAATGGGAGCGATGGGGGCACACCCTTTTCTGAAAGCGCATACCGCATCTCTCGACGTTCGTCCTCGTACAAGGGGCACTCAAGCAAGACGTGTTTCGGTGTCTGCTGGCCGAGATGGCATGAGCAGTCTGGTGAGTCTGCTTTATTGATCCTCCAAAGGTAGCGGTTCACGCCGACGATGTTGAGACGCATCTGCATCATGATCGATGCTGAGGCTTTCCTTTGGCCCTTCCAGAATTCGAGGACCTTCTTTGTCGGGACTGGGAGTAGTCGCTTTGTCGCCTTGCCGCTCTTCTCCTTCTCCCATGATCTCTCCCATGAGATCCTCGCGGTGGTGCGAATCCTGCGCTTGGCTGCCGAAGCGAGTTGAATGTTGCGGTCGTGAGGGCTTGGGGTTTCACCCTTAGCGGCCTCCTTCGCGTAGCTGTCGACTAGTTCGTTTCCTGCGATTCCTTCGTGCGCTGGAATCCATCGGAATACTACGTCGATTCCCTGGTTGCTCAGTTGCTGTAGGAGGGTATTGCAGTCGCAGAGGTATATTTGTCCCGAAGGCATTCGCGGTCGGAGTAATGCTTTAAGCGCTGCTTGGCTGTCAGAGAAAATAACCACACCATTCTGTGTGCGGTCGCTGTCGAGTTCCTTCGCCATCTCAAGGGCCATCTCAGCCCCTCGCAGTTCCGCAGAGTATACTGTGGAGACTTCGTCGGTACCCATATGGCACCGACGGGATACTCCCGTGGAGTTCACGAGGGCCGCTGCACCCACTTTTCCCTCGATACCGCTGCCGTCCGTGTAAATTATGAGCGGGACTTCTTCCGGTGGCTTAGTATAGATCTCTGCGTGCTTTTGGGTTGCTATTCCTCGGTCGTCGATGAATACCGCTGGTGGTACCTGCCATGGTGCCCGGACGAATGCCTTCCGACTCTCCCACTCGCCTGCCACAGCTTCAGGGGGAGCCGTGAGGCATCCGCCCTTCTTCCAGGCCTGTACCTCCATTGGTGTCCATCCTCCCCGCTTACGTTGGCTTTCTGGTCGCTGTTGTAGCATAGCCTTCGGGATTGCATGCATCGGTCCAGTGCGTAACCGGAGTGCGGTTTCTTGGGCAATTCGGTCCATTTGGATGCCAATCGGTGGGAGATACATCTCCACGTTTAGTGCCTCTGCGGAGCTGGTTTTGAATGCGCCTCCGATGAGGCAGACCGCGCGTTTTTGGAGCGAAGCGAAACGCTTGCTAACTATTCTTGCTGCGCCTTTGCCCATGAGGGGTGTATACCATGCGGCCACACCGAATAGTATTTGTGGGACTATCACAGCTTGGTAAATGCGTCGCATCGCAGAGAGAGATGCTCCCCAAGTCGATCCGGCAAGGCTGCGGAGTGCGTGTAGTGATGTGCATCCCTTGATCAGAGCCTTCTCGCAGTGGTGTTCGAACGTGAGTTCGGCATCAAGCCAGAATCCAAGATATCTCTGCCGTCTCCGTCGGCGAGATCCTTCTGTTGAGGCCGTTGACTCCCTCTACAAGGAGCTCCGTCCGCTGTGGCTTAACGCCCCGCGGGACGAAGTGGACGAGTCCGTATTTTTTTGGGTCAAAGACAGAGGCATGGCGTTTCGCCCATTGTATTGACTTCCCACACACCTCTTGAAGCCTGGCGATGTTCTGTGCTTCTGGTCGTCCGATGGCCATGAAGCTTGTATCGTCTACCCAACCATTGGTAGTAATGTATCTGCTCGAGCAGTCTTGGATGAGGTCTGCATTATAGAGGAGGTAAAGGATCGGTGAGAGCGGCGAGCCTTGTGGGATGCCAGTTGGTGTCTGGATGCGATCAGAAATGCCCTCAGGCATCCGAATACGAGTGCTACGGCCAGTGAGGAAGGCGCTAGTCCACGGTGCGAGCTGGCCAAGCCGTCTCTTCTGGAGGTTATGGATCAGCCGGATGTGTGAGACGTAGTCGTACGCTCCGGACACATCGAGTGTTAGAAGCGAGACCGTTTGGCCCTTTCCCCATGCCGTTCGGATGCGATCAATCATGATCTGAATGGCATGGTCCTTTGATATGCCCCTTCGGCCGCCGAGGTGTGTTTCTGGGAGGAGGCCTTCCTCCTCTACCACGTAGCTAATGCGCCTCGCGATGATTGATTCCAAAAATTTAGCAATCGTGTTTAGGAGCGCAACTGGTCGATATGATTTTGCTAACTGGTAATCTCGGTCCCCTGGCTTCCGTAGAACCACTGTGATCGATCGTTGAAAATGGGAGGGGTTGTATCCTTCCCGTACACATGCATTGTAGAGCTGGTGGAGTGTGTTGAGAACAACCGGTATTTCAATCACTTTGTGCCAGAATGAGTTCGGAATCGTGTCCTCGCCTGGGGCTTTTTCCGCTGGTGTTAACCGTATAGCGTCCTGAATTTCATGTTTCATGATCTCTGGGAATCTGATAGGCTCTGACGGATACTGAAATCCATCGATATCACTCAGATCAGCATCTGGCAGTTGGGGGAAGAAGGCCTGTTGGAATGCCGCTGATTTTTCCTCGACTGTTTCCGCTATTGTCCCGTTGGTCTGCTTCAGTGTTGGTGTGACCCCTCTGTCGTACGATCCTGTGCGGTTGCGGGCCCATTTGGCCAGTCGCCACATCCCCTTCGGTCCGTTCTCGATCACTCGCTGAACCCGCCGGCGGTGCGCTTTCGTGAGTGTGCCTTTGATAAGCCGGTTCTTCTGGTTGCGAGCCTTCTTGTATTGCTCCTCGTAATAAGGATCCCGAGTGTTGACCCATTTCCTACGGAGGAAGCGGACTGTTTTAACGGCCATGCGGCACTCCATAGTGAAATCAGGGTTCGACCATTCGGAGGGCTTAGCCCATGGGGTAGATGCATCGATGGCTGCACGGATGACCCTGATAAACGCTTGGCATTCAAGTTCAATGCGCATCTTTCCCGCTGTTGACATGTCTCTTGTGTGTAGGTGTTCTTCGATGAATGCCGTAAGCGCTTTGGAATCTGTGACGGCCCAGTTTCTTCTTTGAGGCCGTTCGAAGAGTGGTGTTTCAATATCGATGACCGTACGTATTGGGTAGTGGTCAGATTGGTGCTCAATATCGTCTGCCCGTCCGCTCTGAACTAGGCGTTCTGTGAGTGTCTCGCTCACAAAGGTGAGGTCGATGACCGATGACGACCCTGCTCGCTCCCACGTGGGCTTCCCTTCTTCAGTGAGTAGGTCCATTTTGAACTCGTCCATTACGGTTAGTAGATCTTCTGCTTCCCTATCGATATCGGCGCCTGGTCCTCCCCACAGAGGGTGGTGGACATTCATGTCGCCTATAACCACATGCTCGCCATATGGTCTCTTACGCAGTTCATGCCGTAGGATGAAGGGTAGCCCTGTGCCCGGACGATTGTAGACGTTGTGGACGAAGAGATCCGTCCAATCTCCGCCTCGGTGTGCCTTCCGCAGCTTTAGGATCTGGTAGTCGCGATTCACTAGCTGGCAGGACCATTCCCGTGGATCGAGTTTCTTCGAAATGTACATGCCTACCCCTGGTGGTTCGTCTTCTGGTGTCTTTGGGTATAGTAGTTGAAACGAGGCAGATGCCGGTTGATGTGTAGTATTGGAAAAGGTATTCTTCCATGGTTCCTGCACTGCGATGATGCTGGCCTTTAGTACCTCCTCGTCCCGAAGAAACGATGCCATGACCGGCTGCGATTTGTTCACATTGTATTGTAAGATCTCGAACTTATTCATTGTAAAGGTCATTATCGATGTTATCTTGTTCGTCATAGTCGGAGCGGTCGCTGCCGTCCGATACTTCAAAGAATTGTTCGTCGTCGATGATCTCTAGAGAGTTGGTCACTGTTGCTGTTACTTCTGGGGCTGCCTGTGGGGGAGAGCTGCCGAATGCCAGGAAGGAGGGGATTTCGATGCCGAGGTCTAGTCCGTGGCTTGGGATTTGTGTGTTTTCTGTGGGCGTCGGTGCTGGGGGCATTGGGGGTTTGATGCGGAACTTGACGACTTTCTCCCGTAGTGCGGCGGGATTGGTGCTCTTTTGGCTCTGTAGCTGAGAGAGCGGTTGTTCTTGTTCCTGTTGTTGTGGTTGGGTGGTCCATATGTCTGTGTCTGGATCCTCGTCCATAACATTATCTGGTTCGACCATCCGGCGTCTTTTATTGTTGGCATGGAGTATTCGCTCAGGGTCAGTCATTAGTCGGACTGTCTCTTGCTGTGAGCGGGAGGTCCTTGAACGTCTCGATACAGATAAGGCCGCTTCAGTGACTTCTGGTGGGGTGGGGAGGTCGTCATCCTCGCCGGCTGTCGACTCTTTGGTCTTGTTCTTTGAACCCTTTGGACGGCCTGGGCCCCTGCGGATAGGGGCTGAAGGGGCCGTCGATATATGGGCCACTGGGGTAGGAGCGTGTATTGACGCATCGAGCGTGTCCGTTGTGGCTGTTGGTGGGTTTCGTCTGGGCACTGGTCCCCGTGCTGTTTCATGCGCTGGTTCCTGTGTGTGTGTTGTTGAAACATGGGAGCGGAAGTGTAGCGGGACCCGATGATATGGAGGGCACTGAGCCCGTACCTGATCCGCGATTTTCCTCGCTTCCTGTTTGATAGGACACGCTGGGTTAGTTGGCCGGTGGCCGCCACCACAATTAGCACACTTGGTCGTGACTGGTGCACCACTTAGCGAGTCGCACTCCCAGGTCGGGTGCGATCTCGCGCAGTGGCCGCAAGCAAATTCCTTAGAGGGACAGTGTGATTGTATATGCCCTGTTTTCTGGCATTTACGACACAGCTTCACCCTGCCGTTACGGCAGAAGTAGACGACAGTATGGATCTCGTGGTTCCAGACTAGTCCTGCATCAATAGCCTGATTGGCTACAACCGGGCTGTCGAATTCAATCACCACTGAGGCCTCGCGCTGGCTATCCCTCGGGCGGGTGAGCCAGTCAAGGTGAAGAATCTCAGCTTTACCGCCCCACGATATCGAGTTTTGGCGCTGCATCTCTGAGGCCAGCCCTGTACGTGATTCCGGCGTGAGTTTGAAGGTCTCACTGGAAGACCATGTACGACAACGCCCCACGACGGCTTCTGGACTTTGGCCTCTCTTCCGAAGAAGCTCACCCAATCGGTATGTCGGCGGAGGAGTTCAGCGCCAGACGCTGAATTGACCAGCATCGCCACATCCCCAGACGGCAGCACCCGGGCTGCTACGAAGTATGCGCCTCCAGCAAGAGCAGCGGAGGTGTTCTTGCGTGCCTGCTTTTCACGCAAGAGCTCCGTCTTCTGGACCATCGTGGCCGAGTCCGTTTGACGTATCTTTTCCCGGCACGAATGGTCCACTTTCACCACAATTGTATGGTCCTCTCTAAGTTCAATTTCTGGCACCCCCGGAGATGCTGTGCCATTACTGCGGTGCGTGGGGGGCGCAGCGTTGATAGCAGCGTCCCGTTGCCAGGCACCGGCCCGAAAGGAGCGCCAGCGGTCTGCGGACGACAGGGTCGAAGCAGATGTTGACGAGTTCGTTGATTTTTCGATGCCGTCGATGCGGGTATTCAGGCGTTCAGTGTCCGCCGCGATTTTCTCAAGGGCTGCAATTACCCTCGTCATGCCCTCTTGGGCGTTGGCGTCCTCAGGACGCTGTCGAGAATTGATCGCATACTCCTTGACCGTGCGGATGTATCCGGTGATGATCGGGTCCTCCTGGCCATTGTTTTCAATGTATCGGAGAACTTTATTGGCGCCCTCGATGATCTGGTCCATGCTGATATTTTTGTTACCGTTGCTGCTGTGTTTGGGGTGCCGTACTGCTGGTCTTGGCGCTGCCCCTGATAGGTTTTTTGCGCGGTCGGGGTGGATGAAATCCACTCCTGGGCGCGGAACCATGGTCGCAGCCATCGTTACCCGTCGAGACCGGTATCAGATGAAAGCGCCCAAGGTAATTGAGAATTTTACTGAGGCACAAGCCCTCAGGAACTCTGGTTGGCGAGATATTTCAAGAAAACGATTTTGCCAAGAGATAGTTGCTCTAAGTGCTCGATGTATCTCTGGAGCTGCTGGCTTTTCGTTGTGGTCTCTCGTCTCAGCGGTGACGGCCTTAAATTGACATCACGTTGGCTTGTTGGTCTTGCAGGAGACCTTGTAGCGTAGCAAAAGTGTTTACGGTAAAGAGTTTTGTGAAGAAGCTTATTAGTCTGCTGCTCGTAGGTGGAACCTAACAATTATATATTTGCGAGATCAACCTTAACGTGAATCAGGTTGATCCGCAAGTATCATCCACTACTGTACATTCCTGAGCCCTCATAATGTACAAAAAAGAAGACTTCTCACGGGTAATTCCAGATAGTGTATTCAACGTCGGGAGCATTGCTAATTTTGAGTCTTGGGGCAAACCTACAAATGTAGCCATCACAAAACTGACCATAGAAACTCTCCAGATTGTGAGTACTTCCAAGTTGCCTCATGAATTGGGATGAGTATTAACTTTATACGAGGTTGCTTTTGTATCAAACTTGCAGATTGAGACTCGAATAACCGCGCATACCTTTCGGTGATCTTTCCTTTCTCAAACATGATTATTTGAACAATGGACAATAGTCTTTTCATATTTACCTTGATTGGTTGGTCACTGATGGCATTAGCCGTGACTCCTACTCACGTCCTTCAATCAGGAAGCTCTTTTGAAGGTCTAACGGCATTTCGCTCAAACAGCTTCCATGCAGACGTATAAGCTTCATAGTCTTGACGAACTTCAACTCGTGTCAATAAATCCACTTCCGCTACTTTATTTCACGGAACTAGTAAAATATTGTATGCAATATTGGATTAGGTCCTAATGATAGAACGATTCAAACTGTCAGCTCTGCCTTACACAGCTTTGAGTCACCTAGAGGAAGCCTAAAATTGTCATCAAACATCGCTATGGTCCATGTTCGTCCTGCTCGTATAACATTGATGCCACTACGGAACCATACAATACGGCCCAGCTCCTCCACTCTGACGTTAGAATATGTTGGTGAAAAGTACGGATCAGAGTGAGGGATTAGGCCGTTTCAGATTTTCCGTTGCAACTGCTTTTATTGTGTTGTTCTCTCTCGTCTGATTTGCATGGAAACAAGGCTGGCCGTGAAATTAAGTTTAGCGGAATAAATTAGCAAACAGTAATCTATAAAGCCCAAAATATGCTGCAACAAGAGATAGATAGCTTGACACAAAGCATTGTAACTTTTTTAACCTTCACGCTGAGCTAATTTGTAAACCTCAATACAGATAAGTCTTAAGATTATCCTTTTTTTAGGCCATATCTTAAAGCACGTACTTCGACTTTCAGGTAAAAAATGCTTCATGTCTCTTGGCTAACTCAATTTATTCTGGCAAGATATTTCTCTCTTCAGGATTTGCTTTACCTTTTGAGCGTAAGTTTGCCCGTTCTCAGTGTTGCTGTCGGATCGGATTTAGAATTTGAACGCAACTGATTAATCAGGTAAGGGTAGAATTGGTTACTGTCAGATACCTCGATATCAAAGACCCACCCATCAATAACGGTATTGCTAAAAGGTCCAGGAACCTTCGCCATGTTCGTCCGACCGTAAGCTTGCCATAAGTTCTGGCCGGTTGTCTTGGCTTCCTTCTGTGAGGACAGAGAGTATGCCCCAGCGCTGCCTCCTAATGACAAGAAGGTCTTAACGCCATTCGCCTCACATGTCTCGACAGCCGCTGCCAACTCGTCGCAGTGCCGAGGTAGACCTGATCGAGAGATGTAACACAATTGCCCGATTGTCCCTGATAAAACAGCGATTCCTCTTCCATATTCTGTGCGAATCGATACCACTCATCGATCTAGACCTGACTTATGTATTCTCTGAACCAGGTATGCATCGCATGCTGGACATCATGCTCACTCTGCTACTGTTCGTGGAACTTCAAACTGCAGCCATGATGTTTGTAGAGCTGATTAGTCAGAGCGTTGGGTAAATCACTGATGAGAGGAGCCTGGTCTGTAGTAGGTTGCTCCGGCTCTTCCTCCATAGTCGGACGCGGAAATGGCTCGCCTGCCTACAATAAGTCATTATATATCTTAATTGATGGCTGCGTTGCCCGGTCTTTATACCCACAGTTTTGGGAGATATCGCGCGAGGGGTACGTCCTTGATAGAAGAGAAACCATCGGTGAGAAGGCAGTCGTCGTTGAAGAGGAAGTTGACTGTGGTGAACTCGTATGGTTATATTTGGGGCTTGGAGGAAAACGTAGTCGCCCAAATTCTGTGGGAATTGTCGATACTGCTGGAGGGAAGTAGATAAGGACGGTCGAGTCCAGCAGACGGTTGCTCCGTATTCGAGTAAAGTAAAATATGCCACGCACGCTGGGTAAATCATCACTTTATAGGCGTTTCTCTATATCGTAGACCTACTTTTTGTTTGTAGAGATATGTTACCGTGGTCGCCCTTGTTTCGTTATTGAGCTTTATGGTTGAGGCATAAATATGTCCACTAGTTGGGTAACTAGGATTTACTTCGTATCACAAAGAGAAGCTTGATAGATAAAAATGCTTGCATAGATCTAAAAATTCTATAAATGTTTTATGATTCTAGTTATTTAGGATCACGAGTACTGATTCTGGTGCTAGACGCGATCTTCTAGAGGGGTTTGGTTTCGACTCTGAAAATGAATGGGAATTCGGCTGCTATTCGGCGCAAGACATTCACTTACAGCTTCTTGAATAAGCTTAAGAGTCGGAATTTCAGGGAAAAGACAAATATCTATTTCCCTGCTTTAACTGATTTCTGGAGAAGAATTATATTTGGCTGCACACTGACACGCACCTCCAGAGGGATATTCAATGCAGCACCCTGTGATCTTGAACATTGGTTTCTGGGTGTTATGAACCTCGAGAGGCCGGGCATATCAGGCTACTGCATCTTATAGCACGTCTTTGGCCCTCTTCTCCATGAAATACATCAAGGAGATACTTTTATTGGGAGCCTATGTCTTCTTACGCAATATGGACGAGAGGGAAACTCAAGTTAATACCACTCGTCACTATTCCAGACCGACCCATCCTAAATTATCATGAATTTGCGGGGTTAACAAAGTGGTATGCCATTTCAAGCTGCGAATAGACGTTAGCAAGAAACATCCAAAAGTTCAATAGACATTACTCACTTGTTCATCAGTCTGGCAAATCAGCACCCGGGGTTTTTTGTTGACCGTCTTCGATATATCTTTCACAGTCTCACTATTTTCTAGTTCTCCATTGTTAGCCACCGAGTTGATCTCTACGCCTAGACTTTGGCATTTCTCAATCAACTGCTTGCGTAAGATCGCGTTATTCTCCCCAATGCCACCAGCGAAGACTAGAGCGTCAACTTTGCCCTCTAGTTTGACATAATAGTTACCGATGTAACCGAGAAGGCGGTCAACGAAAATGTCAAACGCGAGTTTGTGTGCCTCTGAAGGTGGATCAGCGACTGCTATCTTGGCGAAGTCGCTTGTTCCTGTTAGTCCTTTCCAGCCGGATTTATTGTTCAAAATATCTTCAGCCTAGTAATTTGAAAGAAAAAGGTCAACTCCCCTCCCATATGGAACTAATCAGAGCTCTTTCAGTACCGTACTGATGTGCATTTCCTTGTTACTGGCAGAACTCAACTCGACGGCCTCAAAATTGCAGTGAAAGATCAGTCTTCATATAACAGATTAGCATTACGATTCTGAGTCTAGAGAATAGTTTAAACACACGTGGGATCGATGTCACCACTCCGCGTCGCACCCGGTAGACCTGCCAAGGGTGTAAGTCCCATGCTACTCATACCACGTTAGTATATGAAGTCAGCTTATGGTGAGCATCATCAAATACTCACGAAGTATCTATCGACTTTCCTTTTTCAATGGCGCATATGGAAGCTCCACTTCCAAGGTGCATCGCTATAAGATTTGTTCTCTCTGCTGGTTTGCCCAGAAAGTCGGCCACAGAGCGGAGGATGAACGAATAGCTGATTCCGTGGAATCCATACTTTCGCAGTTTCTGCGCTTTAGCGACCTCTTGATTAATCGGATACGTTCTCATGTATTCAGGTAATGTCTTATGGAAAGCCGTGTCGAAAGAAGCAACGCTCTTCACGTTTGGTAGCTCAATTCTGCAGAGGCGAATGATTTCCAAGGCAGAAAAATTGTGTCTAATGCGATTACAAAATCTGTTGAGCAGGCAAGGTTTGCTGTAGAATGGAATGCTGCGAAATTTCACGTACAGGGGTGCAAGACTTTCCAATTCTTCCAGCCTGTGGTAAGTCTCTCCATTGATCTCCGTCACTTCACAATAATCACCACCATGGACTACTCGGTGACAAATGTAGGTGAGGTCATCTTTGCTGGCAACTTCAGATAGCTCTGGGTCGTCGAAACAGCGCTGAAGGAGATATTTAAACGCGTCCTGTGGGGTTATCAGCGTCTCCTTTAACTTCTCCTTATGTTTTGTGGTTCCTCGCCGATACTGCAGCATCGGTGGAGGCGCGGTAATTCCAGATATTTGTGCGTTTACGATCGCTCTCGGATGGTCCTCGAACGTATAAAAAGTAATTTTGACTGAGGACGAGCCGGCATTGACAGCGAGAATAGACTTAGTCATAACTGAAGGATGTGAGAGGCAGCTGCCACTAAAATAATGAAAGCAAATGTTTAGTTCAAATTTCAAGTGAGATGGACATTGCAAACATTCGACTTCAATTCGTGAACCCATGATGTTTATGAATGGCGTAGTGGCGTCACTGATAGAGAATAAGGTCTAGGATGATCCATTGATTTCATCATCGATATATTTGTCATAAAAATTATCCTCTTATGTCTAGCATTGTCTTTGTCAATAACGGGAATTGCTAGGAACACCCCGATTTTTCCTAGGGGCACCCCTACTTATGTAATCTGGTTAATTACATAAGGGAGATAATCATGTGATCTGTATTTGAATTTCCACAGCAATATCATTCTAGTCTTTTTCTACTATACATCCCTAGCTCTTCTGCCCCTCTTCTAAAGATCTGTAGTTTTCTACTTCAAAATGGATTCACAAGAGCCATGAGTCTACCTTGCACTCATAGAATTTTTGATCTTCCAAAGCATAATCAGGCTATTCCGTTCACCCATTCTGGCGAACAATTCTTGATCAGGGTTCAGATTATGGTCTAATCTTGGAACCTACGACTCCATTACCCAAACCTAAAAAACGGAATAGTAGGCAATTGAAATTATTGGAGAGCCTATACAGAAGAAGAAGAAGGCGCCCCAAAAGTGCTCTACTTATGGTGAACTTGGGCATACAAGAAGGTCATGTAAGTAACAGAAACTGAAATCCAGATACAGATCACATGATATTTTTAATTATGTAATTGTCCAATTTACATAATTAAGGGTGTCCCGAGGAAAAACGGGGGTGTCCTTAGCAATCCCCAATTGTCGGTGTTTTTACCTGATGTGGCTGTGTCTCTTAATTCTGAGAAATCCCTAACCTGTAAGCGAAATATTGAAAATATATACAAAAATGCAACGAATAGGCATGTCATATTTTTACTATTTGTCCTCTTCCCTGTTTGTGGAACTGTGCATTAGCCCGACCCCCCGATTCTTTCGTTCCAACAAGTGCTTTTTGGCGGCTCAGAATCGACCCACCCGAACCGAAGCGCGGTTCCTATTGAGGCTTGCCAAGAAATAGAGATCTGAAAAATGAATCGCATGAACGATAGTGTAATAAGCAAGAATTATTAGACGCAGAGGCATGCTCAGCCTACTCTTTTCCCTTCTTCCGGTAGGCCCAAGTCCAATTGCGAATATGATCGGGGTCAATACCATCCTCGAATGCAGCCAACCTCGCCGCCAACTGACTATTGATGAACTTCTCGCGAACACTAGAAGCCGTGTTACGCAGTGATTCAACACGATCAATCGCGTCGATGGCGAGACTGTATCGGTCGGTCTGGTTCCGAATTGCAAGTTCAAAAGGGGTATCGATATTGCCCTTCTCTTTATATCCTCGAACATGGAGTTTGTGTTGTCCAGGCCGTTTGTAAGTGAGACGATGGATAAGCCAGGGATATGAGTGGAAGTTGAATATGATCGGCTTGTCATCAGTGAAGATAGCTCTCCATTGTCTATCAGGCAGACCGTGGGGATGATGCCGTTCCGACATCAGCCTGAATAAGTTCACTACATTAACAAACCGAATCTTCAGCTGTGGAAGATGCTCCCGGAGGAGCGCAGTGGCCGCCAGAGCTTCCTGTGTCGGAACATCGCCGCAAGAGGCCATCACGATATCAGGTTCCTGACCCTGGTCATTACTGGCCCAATTCCAGATTCCGAGGCCTTTGGTGCAGTGCTCCACGGCTTCTTCCATATTGAGGAACTGCATATGGTCTTGCTTGTCAGCTACAACTATATTAACATAGTTGACACTGCGCAAGCAGTGGTCTGTAACTGATAGAAGACAGTTCCCGTCTGGCGGGAGGTAGATCCGGACCACCTCTGGACTTTTGTTGGCAATAACGTCCAAAAATCCGGGATCCTGATGCGTGAAGCCATTATGGTCTTGCCTCCAGACCGTTGAAGTGAGGAGGATATTGAGAGAGGATACCTTAGCACGCCACTCAACTTCAAGACATTTCTCAATCCACTTGCAGTGTTGGTTGACCATTGAGTCGATGATGTGGATGAAGGGCTCGTAACTGTTCAAAAGACCATGACGGCCAGAAAGGATATATCCTTCCAGCCAACCCTCACAAGTGTGCTCGCTGAGCATCTCCATAACGCGGCCCTCTGGTGCCAGATTTCCTCCGTCTTCATCTTCTTTGAAGTATTCTCCCATCCAGACTTTCTTTCCTGCTTTGTATATTTCGCCCAGTTTATTAGACTCGGTCTCATCTGGACCAAACACTCGGAAGTTGACCATGTTTTTTGCAACAACGTCGCGCAGGAACTGCGACATATTGACCATGCTCCCGCGAACAGAGACGCCAGGATCAATATTCAACAGTGCGTAAGAGGGAAAAATGGGCATATCAAGAGGTTTACGGAGCAGACCTCCGTTGGACACCGGATTTGCACTTATACGAGACTTACCTTCGGGTGCAAGCGCTCTTAGTTCAGGAATCAATCGGCCCTTATGGTCAAACGTTTCCTCTGGCTTGTATCTTTTCATCCATGTTTCCAGAAGCTCCAGATGTAAAGGATTTGTGTGGACATCAGTGATGGGAATCTGGTGAGCACGCCAGAAGCCCTCCACATACTTCCCATCAATCTCTCTGGGGGCGGACCACCCTTTGGGGGTGCGTAGGATTATCATTGGCCATTTGGGGCGAAATGGCGTCTTCGAATCTCGAGCTTGCTTCTGGTATTTCCGGATTTCCAAGACACAGTGCTCGAGAGTTGCCGCCATGGCTTGGTGCATACTTTCCCTGTCACTACCTTCCACAAAGTATGGAGTCCACCCATAGCCAGCGAACAGCGAGGACAGCTCATCGTGACTGATGCGTGCAAGGATAGTTGGATTGTTGATCTTGTATCCATTAAGATGAAGGACTGGAAGTACTGCTCCGTCGGTGATTGGGTTGAGGAACTTGGTACTATGCCAGCTCGTTGCCAGAGGTCCAGTCTCCGACTCCCCGTCTCCGACCATAGTTAGAGTGATGAGGTTCGGATTGTCAAAGACGGTGCCGAAAGCGTGAGATATGGAATACCCCAGCTCACCGCCTTCGTGAAGACTACCTGGGGTCTCTGGTGTTGAATGGCTACCAATTCCTCCCGGGAACGAAAAATGCTTGAAAAGTTTCTGCATGCCACTTTCATCTTCAGTCTTGTCGGAGTAAACTTCCGTGTAGACCCCCTCGAGGTACGACTGTGAGAGAACCCCGGGGGCACCATGACCAGGACCAGAAACGAAAAGCACATCCAGGTCATACTTCTTGATCAAGCGGTTCATATGAATCCACGTAAAAGACTGGCCTGTCCCAGATCCCCAATGACCTAAGAGCCGACCTTTGATATGTTCCTTCTTGAGAGGCTCTCTGAGAAGGACATTGTCGCGGAGGTAGAGCATGCCAAGACAAAGGTACATGCTTGCCCGAAAGTACGCGTCGGTCTTGCGGATTTCTTCTGGATCAAGAGGTATTTCTTTTACCGTAGAGCGTGTAGCTCCATATGCCTTGATGCTCAGGATATCTGCACTAGATGCCATTTTTCGCGTACGATATTATAGTATCCAAGACTTTTTCTTAAAATATATCTCAGCGAATCAGTCTTTATCACTCAGTAGAATAGGAAATTTTCGAAGATACTATACGAACATTTATGTCTTGATCGAGAGCGCGTGGAAGACAAAGCTTTATTGTCGCGCATATTTAATTAAGTCAAACGAGGATCTGATGATTAAAACTTCACAGTGGAGCCAAGGGGCCAAATGAACTCTGACGTCTGCATATTACTCGTCTTGGAGAATTCACCGGATTCAGTATACAAATGGTTAGATTCCAATGTCGATGACGATTCGAGACGAAGTGCTGCAGCTACCCGCTGCTTCTGAAACCTTGATCCAAGTATTCGCAATAGTTCAATGAATCACATTATATCATTTTATTTGGATAATTTATTCAATTCCGAGTTCAGAGCTGTCATGCGCCAATCGGGTCCATGACAACTTGAGTCATAAGATCACGTAATTTTGTGCAGCCTGCCTTGTTGCCTATAGGCTCATATAGTCACTGTAGCAAACAATTTGTAGTTCACAGGTGTCTTTCCTAAGAGCCCTCCCCTTTTAAAACTGCACCCAAATTACCCCTTTCAAAGCCTGTGGGCTTTGAAAGTAAGGAGCAGTTTAGGCATAATGCCCTATATGAATTTCAATTTCCTCGCGAGTATTGGTGAGAGAGTGTTCATTTAGTTATTTTCAACGGTTTTTGTTTCTGCAGATCGTGTTTATGGCAGGCAGCCGAATTTGGCAGTTCGTTCACTTACTAAAAAAATACATAGATCACAAATATAGATTTAATGTCAAAACTCTAACTCGATCTGTAATACTCAAAAGGGCGATACGAATCGATTTTCGCCGTTCCACCTCAACACACATAGTAAATTCGATAAATTACAAGTTGATATCTCAATAGCAATATGTTAGACTTATTTAATTACTGACATAATGTGATTACTCTGTAATCACAATAAATGTGAAGTCACGCAAATCAAGCCCAAAGAATCAGTTTTTTGCATTACTAAAGAATTATTTTATTGCATTACTAAAAAAATACAACTACACAAGCCGTAAGTATTTACATCAGAGCCAGTAAAGATCACATATTTTTTAAAAATTAGAAAAAGTTAGACATGATCCAAATCATACTCCAATATAATCAAATCACATATTAAATTACTGTTGCTGAGCATCACGTTGTAATTTGTCGTATTACCGTGTTTTGAGCTGGGCGGCTTGTACGGGAAATTACGTTGACGTTTTACGTACACCTTTCGGATCCATGGTACATTGAAGGCTATACTTCTAAAGAATGACAAATGACGCCTGTCGCCCGAAAGGGCGCTGAATGATCATCAGTTGCAACAGTTGCATATAGTTCTGTCGCTATTCTAAATACGCCCAAGATCCCGTGAACTTTCATAATTTAGATTCATCTGACAAATATGCATAGTGGGCTTTTCCAGTTAGAAAAATGATAAGGGCGTATAAGACCAAACCAATTCAAAATATTGCACGCTTCAAGTTTGCCAAAATTGCATCCTTTCTCAAATTAGCTGAAGCTTGAATTCACTTTGAACTACTATGTCTGAACAGCCAGGCGCTTCCGTGCCCACAGCAGCACATGGCCCGGCTATGAATCTCCGACAGCCGGCGACGACCGAAAGAAAACAGGAAAATACCCACTTTAATCGTGAGTCTAATTCCCTCGCCAGATCTTTGGCGTGCGAGGAAAGTACTGTATCACAAGTGCTTTTACCTCAATATACAAAATTGGCCAATCCCGGCCCCTTAGGGGTCTTATCATTTGCGATTACGACACTCACTTTGGGGCTTTACGAGTGTGGAGCTGGGTGAGCTGATTTACACTCCAAATGAGCATTTTTAAAAAAAAAAATCATAAATCCTATCTAACTTACGTGGTAAACTTCCCCACTTAAATCCCGAAGGAAAAGTCGGGCCAAATCAAGCTATCTTCGGTTTTGCAGCTTTTATGGGCAGTACGGCTCAATTTATCGCTGGAGTAATGGATTTTCGAATTGGAAACACCTTTGGTACCACCGTACATTGCTCTTATGGCGCATTTTAGCTCAGCTATGCGATGTTCCTGCCTCCTTACCTTGGCATCGAGGCAGCATACCGGAGTAGCCTCAGGGCCTACGCATTTGCTCTCGGCTTATATTTAATCATATGGTGCATCCTAACATTTTTGTTTTTGATTGCAGCTCTCAAAACCAACCTGTCAATTCTTCTGGTGTTTTTTTTTTCTTTTTCACACATTCCTCTTTCTGAGTATCGCCAGCTTTATCGCCACAGAGCATCCTGGTGCTAGTGTACGTATACATAAAACTGGAGGAGCATTCACCGGCCGTTTCTGGATTTGTTGCATTCTACACTGGATCGTCGAGTCTGATGCTGCCACGCAATACCTTTGTTCGATTCCCACTCGGAGAGTTTCCAAGATCGCAGGAAGTTTCATAAAATGGGCTATCACTTCGAAAATGGAATTCTAGAGACATAATGGGAGGCCAGGGACACTTTGGTATATACAAAAATAACGCCTGCGTGGTCATAGAGCAACACGGCATATTTGCTGCTGTCTAAAACTTCCAGACTATACGCCAAATGAATGCCTTCCTTTACCCAAACCAGCGCCGTGTGCTTGCCTCGTGAGCGTGTTTTTGGATCATTAGACACGATGATAAGTGTTGTAATATTTCTGCTGAACGCAGTTATTTTAGTCCTAGTTTTGGCAATTTCGCGAGGAAAAGAAAACATACACAAAGTAGCGGAGTCTGCATAAAAATTATAGAATGTAGCTCCCCAGCCTCCTCCCCTTCCTTTTTCTTTCTGCGTTCGGATACTATACACAGTCTTCCTAGTCTACTTATACTACCTTTAACTAGTAAGATTTTGTCACAAGAGGCCCAATATATAAGCTGCCTTCATGGTTTCTTCTTGATCTGTCTACCTGGTCACACCGATACACTCAATTGAGATCACCCATTTACGATTCTCAGGCCGTATAAGCTTTCTACGAGCGTAGAAATCTCGTCTAGTGACGACGTATATAGTACTGATTTGGCCCAGGTGAAACTCTTGTCATTGAATTCGTGGGTATCGTCTAACCCTAACCCAAAAACTCCATCGTCGTACCCTGAGAATGAAATCAGTTCACGAAAGGACCTGTAAGTAAGATCTAATCTTCGTGCTCCTGGCGATTTCGAGTATTTTGAGCACGGTTTGGTGGCATAGTGAATAGTTGAAGAGATTAATTATATGATCTAATCGCTTACGTGATCCGCCCGTTCGTAAATCATGTCAAGAGGTATTTAACCACCCTCTAGATTATGACCAAATCTGTCCACTATTACGTACCACTCATGTCATGCGAGTTTAAATGCTAGAATCTCCTCGACGTTGATGTGAACGTTGACTGAATCGTTTCTTCGCGAGATCTGTCCCCTAACTCCGAATTGCATCTTAAAGGTCTGATCTTACAAATTAATCTGCGTACTACTTTGATGTTGAACATCTTCAAACAGATCTTTTGGCGCGAAATACCTGGAAGTCTTCATCTGTGCATTGCTATGAACAATGCCAACCCACACAGAACCCCTTCTTATAAAGTGAGCTTCAAAGATCAATCTTTTCAATTTCTCTAAAAATATCTTCAGTCGTCGGTGGATATCCTCCCTAGGATTTCCTGTTCTTGCAGTAACTCTTCCTGTTCTTTCTTATCCCTCAGCTACCTGACGGATATTCAGGGAGCATTATTTTCCATAGCGCTTATGTTCAACATCTGCTCGGTATCTCGGGAATGGCAAGATGTAATTGACGCTAAAACAGGTGTATCTTCAAAACATTCTCCAGCATGGTGAGTCTCGCATCTCCGCCCCTTTCATGGACTAAAATTCATGGACTAAACTGAGGAACACTCATTTTATCAGGGCTGTCTCACTCAAAGCACTATCATTAGCTTTGGCTGTCACTGCTCACATATTCTTTTTATTCACGTTGATGATATCCAAGTTCAACCAATCAAAAGGCGTTATCGTCACGGCTCTGGGTCTCCTTGCATCAGCCGCAATTTTATTCGCCCTCATAGGTATCGATTCTCAACAGAATCCAGGGTTTGAGCGACAACAACCCTTGCAGTATTCGCAGAGCTTTTTCTATGGAATTATGACTGCCGGCCTCTACATCCTTATTACTATCATACTCATGGTTTACACGATCCGCACGCACGCCGTCCAGGCAAGTCAAAATCACAGACAGAGGGCCGAATGCATTAGAATCATCTTGCCATCCATCACTTTCGCTGCTTTTCTTATTGGTGGAGCTGCTATATATAGTACCATCGAAGGTTGGTCTCTGGCGGATGCACTGTATTTCACAAATTACACCCTTTTTACAATTGGCCTTGGAAATATAGTTCCTAAGACTCACCTCGGACGAAGCTTGTTATTACCATACACAATTGCAGGAATCAGCGCCCTAGCTCACGTTGTCCGCTCTATCTCATTGTTCACAAAAGAAATGAGAAACATGACTCTGAAATTCAAAATTGACGAAGTGAAAACACGCACCGATAAACAAGGCGCCTCAAGGTGGCCTGTCAAGCGCACCTTCGTAAATTATGAGAATCCATCATATCCTGTGACCACCAATTCTCAATTCCCGAGAGGACGTGAGATGCTGAATATACAACGCATGAAGTCTGATTTCTTTCGACGATGTCAACATAGAGACTTTGCTTTTTCCTTGGCTGCATGGCTCATCCTTTGGTTAGTCAGCGCCGCTATTTTTCATCAATCTGAAAAGGATCAGGACTGGACCTACTTTTTGTCTCTTTATTTCACGTTCACATCTCTAACAACCATCGGATACGGAGATTTGTACCCTATGAGCAATTTTGGCAAAGTCTTTTTCGTGCTCTGGACTCTACTTACTCTTCCCGTTTTAACGCACCTTGTTATTACTACGGGCGAAATAATCCATCGATCTTTGGCTTACTGCTCTGCTTGTATGTGGAGGTTTGGAGTTTCAAAAACACGGCTCTTGCAAGATCACCAGCATGAACAGTTCCTTCAGCCCTATAAAGAAAGGCCAAAGAGCAAAAATCTTACAAATCAGAGCAGCTTGCATTCGGAATCACAGTACAGTCATTCTGAACCCGAAATTCGCAGCCAGTTCAGGTCGAACTCGAGACAAGCATGCGGGAAAGTGTCCACGGCTGGGACGAGAAGCAGGTCTGCTGGTGCTAAATTCGAACTGACCCAGCCTCTGAATGAATTCGTTTATCAAAAGCTCCTGCTTGCAGAAGAAATTGAACAGCTCATAGGCGCTCTTGGGGATGAATCCATGGAACAAAACCTGTGTTGTCATTGGTCCAGAATCCTTCCTTTGCTTCATGCGACGACGGATCACCGGAGAGCCACTCTGATGGAATTTGAACATCCTACAGCCCTATCAGATTTCATATCCTCTACGATGATAAATTTTGCGGACCCCGAAAGAGCTTTATCGGAGACAAAAATTGAAATTTTATACTTGCTCACGTTGCTAGTTGAGAAACTCTGTTCAGATTTAAGGAAAGATTTGTACAAAACTAATTAAAAATACTCCGCTATTATTTTGCCGGGTACTTATCCTATATCAAGTGGCAATGTGAAATCCAAGGATCATATATAAAGCTCGGATGCAAATAGTACATTATTTTCACATTCGACGAGTTGAATAGATTGACCTTGGCTCATTTCTTACCCTGCGCTGAGCAGTAATGTTAAAGACAAGGGAGGCTTGAAGTTTCTCGAAGACACATTACATATGCAATTGATATAATAATAGCTTGTGTAGCATTGGATGCCAATATTCCGAACTTGCGCTCCAGGTCGGTCGGGCATCGAACTTGCCTCTTTCCTGACTACGGGACAGAAAGGGCCAGATTATATCTGCTGTAGTCGGACAGGTTTCATTTTTATCGCGTATTATACCTCACAGGTCTTCCCTCGAACACTCTATCCTTGTATCCACCGCCGAACACACTTGGTTGACAGGTTGACTTATACTGCACTATGGATAATAACAGCAGCGTTTTCGGTATTTAAAACATTGCACGTGTGGGATACGGAGTGCTTTAGACAACAGTAATATTGGTAGCGTTATTAGAAGTATACTGAAGAGGCTGTGTGATTTACGTGATGTGAGGGAGTGGTATACAAAACACTATGAATATAGCATTCAGAAGTGATTTAGCTAGAATATATTCACGTATTAGCATTATTATACCCCGTAGGCCCACTAAACGACACTGTCCCAAATGACTATATGTGAATGTCAGAAGAAAGCGGAACCCTTCATTGTTTCTTTTTTTGTCATACACTGTTGTTTCAGTGAAGGATAAAGTACTCTTCCATGAACAGAGTCGCCTATTCCATGGGCGGACATAGACAAGGCGGCTCTGACTATGGACTGTCAATCATGTCCATAATACGCGGTAGGATAAATCAATGCCGAATTATACAATAGCTTCGGTATTCATCTAGTAATATTTTAGAATAAGAGTGTGGCTTTATTCAGACAGAAGCAAGGACTTATTATTTATTCGATCACTTCAAGTTAATCTTAATCTTGTTGTCCTCCGATAGCGTATTTTGCTCTGAATTACGGGTAATCCGTAATAATCATCATCCTCACTAACATCGATTTAATCACCTTCGTCTTCAGATACAACCTTCTCTCGTCTCTTTACAACCTTCACAAACTGTCTAAGAGCTTCTTAATCTTCCTCAACATCACTAATAGAGTCTACATCGTCGATATGAGGTAATATTTTTTCTATCCCCATCCCTCCGGGATTTCGAGAGACTGGAATAACTGAGGCTGTCCCTATCCCATCCCCAAATTGGTTGTACGCTGAATAGCATAAGACCCTAGACAGTGGCCGGGTTCAGACGGCTTTTGTGGTAGTGACAAAGATCGTGGGCTGAATTAAATAGCCATTCAACACCAGCACCAGTGCCGGGATAGAAAAGATATCGCGGGCTACGCATGCTAGGGTAGGAAACTCATGTCGATGGCCCTTCCAGAATTGTGTACGTGTCAATATCACTAAGCCTAGATAAACTAAAAGGGTTAGTACGAGATAAAGGGGCAAATAGATAATAGAGATATGTCTTGCCTCTGTCGAGAAATTGTGCTAATTCATCTTGATCCTGGTGAGATCTAGACGCATGCGCAAGGATTTTATCAAGTTTCGAGGCATATATCCTAGCCCGAGCCCCTGATATCGAATCATCAGATTGACAGCCTTTGATCTGGTCTTGTAGAATATATGACCGGATGTCAGATCAAGAAAGGAAACCAATAATGAATTCAATTTGAGTACGTAGTCGACGGGAGATCAAGTTGAGAAAGGGGAGCAGAGACAGAGGAAGTGTCTCTATTTATTTACAACAGTCCATGTCCTTTTTCAACTGTCAAGCGCAGTCTTCAAACGCAATCATGTCGGAGTTACTGTGACCAGCCTGAGGCTGTACCTTGAGCACGTGATATGATTTCTGTTTCTGTAGATAGTTCTCTTTGTTTCTCCCTCTTCTTTCCCTTCCCCATCTTCGATGTCCTGTCGACCACTGTACCCAATATGACTTCCTGATCTCTGCTGGATTTCTCCTTGGTAGACGCCCGGTCACAGTTACCAGGATCATGGAAGTCTGCATTGTGAATGCCAGCATGACGGATGACGGGTTCCCGAGACAGCGGTCCCGTATGCGTGGTTCCCTTATGCCTGGTCACAATAGCCTCAGTAAAAATATCATCGCAATCTAACTTTCTCGTCTTTATTGAAGTTGAATTTTGTTCATCGATGGAAACGACCATTCCGCTAATGACCGACTACGAAAGGAACTCCAGGAGCGGTTGTCGGATATCTTTTTTTAATTCAATTCACTTGGTTTGGTTTAGGTTGTCACTATACGACAATTATGACAAGATTTCATCGTACTCTTACTAACTATCTGTTTTTTCCCTACAAATTGTGAAGACAGGGACAGCAGATGATCCTTCAAATTCTCCACTTATGACATTTTTCCTGAGCTCTGAATTCTTCAAGAAATAAAACACATAACACGGTTTTGGCAAGTTCAGTGGTTCCGTTGGTTTATAGACCCTGTTTTGTCCATGTGAGATATTCCCATTTGCATTTACTTTGGTACCAGGTAGAGGTCGACCTTCCAAATGTTACGTTCCTTTCACTTTTGTCCTACTGTTCGCCACAACAGTCTGGTAGGATTGGCCCCGGACATACCATCTCATTGTTCCAAAGTTTCATCATGTGACGACACATGACACACTTGGAGTTTCCTCGTGACTTCGAACTCTGATTCCGGCAGTATGATGACAAAGACCGCTCGAGTTCACAATTCTGTTCTCGAAGATGACCGAGCTGCTCCTCTAGTTCCTTCGCGTGTTTTTCCAAAGATTCTGTGTATTGTTGTTTTCGCTGGCGAAATGTCTTTTGCCTGAACCAACTATTAGCGGTGTTTTGTCTTCACTAGGCATCGTACCACGTACGCTAATCGGTTTTGGATCCTTTTTCTATCCAGGCTCGTGGTTTGATTGATATTTTGAGATTTGACGGTCTGCCTGTGAATCTGAGAAGCTTGCCATTTCTTCTTCGCGTTGGCTGGAAAGCCGGGGGTATTTTCAGTCGAATTTTCCTGCACTGGGCGAGCCTTGTTATGGCTCTCAACTTGATCGGTATTCCTGCAAAGGCACCAAAATGGGTCATTTGTTGCTATGTAATAAAGCAAATTTGTGGCTATTTTGCTCACTTTGGCGGGGCTTTCGGATCTGTAGGAGAGCTCGGTCTTGGGGTTTCACACTTCTGACCAATATCAGAGATCGCTGTAGTGAGGAATGATTGGTCCGTGATAAGATCAAAAGGATCTTTATCGTCCTAGAGGCAGTTCAGCGACCACACATCATTTGTATTAATAAAAGGATTTCTAACATTCTGGTTGTATGGTAGCCAAGAATCGATGGGCTGCGGCGGTAGCCAAAACATGGGATTATTCATTTGACTTATCTCCATGGCGGAAAATACTCGTTCTGAAGGGATCGACAGGAAGTGAACATGATGTGTCCGAGGCCAGGACGCGGTTCATTTATTGTGTCTCAAAGCCATCCAGATTTGGAAAAAGACCAAGCCGAAGATACAAATGCGGGGTTTTTACCCGAAAACGACTCGTATATTTTGAGTGGCGTTCGTTCTGGAGCTTACGTGAGTTCTTATCGTCGACCGGATTCAGACGACGTCTTAGCAGAGGCGACCCAACGATAAGCTCAGCCTAGTCTCAATACAGTAAATGCATCCTAAATGCGTCTTAGCACGTCACGTGATGTGACCAATCACTTTGTAGTCTACCGCTCCAGCAGCAGTCAGCACAAGCGACAAACAAGCAGCATGATATTAGTATTTGACTGCCTCTGAAGAGCTTTGTCACCACATCTTTGGCTCCTGTGGAAAAGAGCAAGAAGCTGCGGGTATGTTCATTTGGGGCGAAGCTTGGGATCCTTTCGCGTATGAAATCTCTGAAAGAGTGGCTCGAAAATGGCTATGGCTGTTCCACGATTGTATTGATGTTATTCGACCCAGCAATCACTGGAGACTGAAAAGAGGCGAGAAACGCCTTCTCCTTACAAATGATTGTGGTGATTCATCTTCCTCAGAGAATGCATAATGGAAATGCATGCTGTTCTCTCCATCGATCGCATTGGTTGATTTTCAAATTTGGCAAGTTTTGTTTTTCACGAATGGCCATGATACCAACCTTTTATAATTGCCTTAATGGCACTTGGCGCAAAAATATGGCATCTTTCGAAGAGCATATCCATATGCGTTGAACAAGACTATTGATTGAAGATTTGCGATCAACAGTTCCGGAGAAAACCTTTCGTTCAGTGAACGGATACTAGCAGCGTTTTCGAAAAATGACGCGAGACCACAGCTCAATACGCATATTAATTAAGAATTAGATGACAAACCTTTCGCCAAAAAGATTCTCAGTGAGCCCTCAATGAAGAATCCAGTTTCCGTCCTCCAATATATCGCTATGTAGCTCCTCGCCGGCTAAGTCGCTGTTATTTAGGAATGATATGTTGAAAACTGATGTTAGTAGCAAGCATCACTTCTCGCTTTCGTAAATCAGCAAAAGGGCAGAGCTCACCTTCGATAGTGGGATCAACCATGCTGGTGATGATTGTAGCTGCACCTTCCGACTTTGTGGTTCTTAGGGAAAGATCGTAAAGTCTGCCATCGAGACCTCTTACAGCTGTAAAATCCATTCAGTTTCTGATTTAATGTATCTTGTAGCCAGAGTTGCACCCGCTTTTTCTGCTTCAGACACAAGTGATTCTTGCACTTGAACTGGAATGGCAGCATCATCTGTGCAATGGAGATACCAAACTGGCACATCTGCCCAACCTGCGTAGGTATTCGCTCGATCAAGAAATGTCGCAGATGACTGTCTTTTAGTTTGCTTGCCCAAAAGACGCGGTCCACTGGCATCAGATCATTATAAAATAATAACTGAGGATCACCGTTATCGGTTATTTCCCAGCCTTCTGGGCCGTGATGGTGACAAGGTTCCCGAGATGCAGATCCGATAATATCATAAAGAGAGCAATTTAAAGGCAACAGAAACGCCGCAAGTTGAATTAATCCGATAACTTCCCCCGATCCAAAACGCAGCCGCGAAGGTTCTTTCTGAGTGAAACCTTTGACAGAACTGCAGCCCACCACGCCACCGAATGAGTGATTCACCAGCACCATATTCTGTCCTGATGTAGTGGCCGCAATGATTAAATTTTGAATCTGAATTATGCTGCTCGCATTAGATTCAAGTGGTGTCGCTGTACCGCTATAGTCGAGCTGGGGAGCGATGCACTCGTAACCCTATTGTTGTAGTAGTGAGACAACATGTGCCCAGCATTCTGAAGTGTGCCATGCCTCGTGAACGAAAATGAGGGTAGGCTTTGTAGGCATGCTTAGAAGACCAGAACGTGACAATTAGACTTCCGCATGATCCAGTCTAACCCGGACCCAACCCGGACCCAACCCGGGCTGGGTTGGGTTTTGGGTCAGAGTCCTCGACCCAGAACTGGGTCCGGGGTATAATGTCTGACCCAGTACTGGGTCTGGGGCCCCAACTTGGGTTATAAACATTGCAAACACGCCCAGGCCTATGGCTACATAAATTATGCAATTTTTGGCTGTAACATTGAGTATTCCTATTACAGTTGAATCAGAACTAACATCTTAGTTTTGAAATAAAGTTGTTAATATTGAATGAAATGTGGAGTTTAGATCAATTGCATATACTACTAACTAATGGTACTCAAAGATATCATCTTCTCGACTCTTTCGCTTCCGTCCTGACGCGCGCACTAGGGTGTTGCTCCGTGGTAATGGCACTTGGGATTCACGTCGAGACGGTTCTTCAAACGTAGCCGATAAAACCTCATCTACCTCTATCGCTTCCTCAATTGTAGTATCCTGTTCCTCAGCATCACTAATTGGCTCGACCTCAATCTCGTCAAGCTTTTCATCCTTCTCCTCCTTTGCCGCTTCTATCTCATCATGAGAGAAGAACTTCTCAAGAAGCTTCGCCTCTTGTTCTTCGATATCAAATCTTGAAGTGCAAAGAAACATCATTAAATCTTCAATTGTATGAGACTTCATCCTCCCTCGGCGGTAATGACAGACATCCCGAGCAGTGTTAAAGAGCCGCTCAACGCCTGCACCTGTTGCAGGGAATGAGAGGATATCACGCGCAAGGGCGGCAATTGCTGGGAAGCGAGCTTGGTTCTCTCTCCAGAATGCAAGAGGCGCAATATGAATAGGATCTAATTGTAAGTTAGTAAGAATCATCCTTAATGACTTAGTTTAAACATACCACTATCAAGATATTGAGTCATTTCATCAGTAGCTGTGCTTGGTTGAACGTTGGTTTCGTCTAACATCTTATCAAGCTTCGATCCTAGCCGAGCTATCATTTAGGAGCTATCTGAGGACTGGTTGAGGGTTGAGAGCTGCTCTTGGTATGAAATCAGAGCTTCTTGGAAGGATTTGCGATACGTGTCGCGCCATTTCTGATCCCAGTCCTTTGTAAGAAAAAATTTGAACTTGTTCACTTGCGCTAGCATTGTGCTAATTGCATAGACATGCCCTCGAATGTCGTCAGTTTGAGAGTAGTACTCATCAAGCTTTAACCGACCTGCTTCAAGTGCGTGAAGCATCTGTTTTTTCCATGGCACGCGCTTGCGTCGTAGCTGTTTCATCGACTGCTCTAGATGTTCAAAGAGTTTGTTGTAAATCTTGAACACATAATGCGCAGTTACATCTCGAGTCTTTGATAGCTGAGTTGTATAGTCAAAGAATGGCTCAGTGATACAAAGTAGATAGTCAACTTGACGCCACTCCTCCTCATAGAGTAACATCTCTTCGCAATCATACTCTGCACAAAATGGCGCAAAGACAGGACGTAAACGCTTTGCCCGGCGAAGCATCAGAAATGTAGAATTCCATCGAGTTCTCACATCTTGGATAGGCACAAGCTTAACGGCTGTTGTCTGGAGATTGTAAAACGTCTCCCGGCGCTGAGGGCTTGCGTTCACATAGATCGCAAGATAACGGACCTTGTTCAATGTAAAAGATATCTCACGGTTCTGATGCTGCGCGTTCAAATGAGCTAATCTTGATTGCTTCTCTGTCCATTTCGTCTCAGCTAAATCATTTAGTGGAACTGCCTTAATGCGATCAAGGAGCTGATTTAGACTAAGCTGGATAACATGAGCAAGACATGGGATTCGAACAATAATAACTTCATCTGATAGATCCTGTTGGAGAGAATCAAACAATGTTTTATTGTTAGATGCATTGTCCGTTGTTAACCCGAATACTCGGGCTTGAAGGTTATGATCTATTAGAGTTTCAAGAACAACATTGCTTAGGTTCGCACCTGTATGCGCACCGTAGAGAGGTTTGAACCCAAGAAGCACCTCACGATAGACCCAATCAATATCAACGAAGTAGCCAGTGATTGCTATAAATGCCTGGGAGAACGGAGATGTCCAGCAATCGAGCGCAATTAATATCTTCGCACTAAGGGGCAGTGTACGAAGGATTCTCTCTTGCCGATCTTTGACAATACTCCCAAGTCGGCGACGGATTGTATCAGCAGAGGGAATGATTGGAGGGAACGGGGCGCAGCGAGCCCGAGAAATAAGACGCTGGAATGCCGGATGCTCAATTAGATGAAGTGGAAGCCGGTTAAGTGTAATGAAATCTAGGATATCTTCTTCCCAGGCTTCTTGTGAGAACGGTATTTCGGCTTCTCTCTAAGGTTAGTAGCCAAGATCAATTAGTAAAGTAGAATAAAGGGCTGAATTAGAACGTACCCCTGTTTTCAGAAATTTGGTAATCTCTGCTCTCTTCCCTTGCTCACTCTTTAAACATCCCGCCGTCTTTAGATGTTTCTGCATTGTTGATGTGCCATGATATTGCACTTTGCCTGTAGCCCTTTGGATTGACTGTATAAGGATGCTCGAGAATAGCTCCGCAACGTTGACACATAACCTTCGGCGCGCCATCTATACTATGAGCAACCTGGTTGTAGTGGCTCCAAATCTCGGCATGGCGCGTCGAGTCCCATTTGATCTTACTCTTCCTCCCAAAATCCGTTTGTAGCCACCAATCTACCCAGTCGTTATGCAACATTTTATCGTAGAGAACAAACGCTTTCCTTCGGTCGGGTCCAACGCGTATTAAGCAGGGGGGCACTATTAGTGGAATATTTGGTCGGAGGAAGTCAGGGTCAAAGGTTTCGATCGTATGTTGGCTAGTAGATGGAGTTGCTGGGTGGTTTGATGGTGTAAGATAGCTAAGATTGTCTAGATCACCATCGTAAAGGGAGGATGCGAAGTCAGACTGCTGACTTTGCGACATGATAAATTGACCAAGAAGTCAAGTAAGGGAGAACGGGAGAAATGTAGAACTCACAAAGTAATGATATTTATTAGTATTAAGTGATGAGGAAACGCGATATATCAATTTAGAAAAGTACTCTAAGGCGTATACTCGCGATTGATTGGTTAGATTACTCCACCTTCATGTACGTTTAACCCAATAACCCAGCAATAACCCAGCAATAACCCAGCAATAACCCAGCAATAACCCAGCAATAACCCAATTCCCACCCCAACTTCTACCCCTGATCGTTAAAAAATTTCATCTCACCTCGCGTATAGATGGTCGCAGTTTCGGTCAACACCACCAAAAAGACCTTACAATCAAGATGGCCTAACTACATACTAATTCACTATAGTCAATTGATAAATAAATAACAATGAAATACAATACAAGCGAATTAAAGCAATAATAACCGAATTCTGTAATGATCATGTTAAATCTATAACAAAGATACACCTGTGTCGTATGTAGTCAATTTATATATCTATACTTTATTCAAGAAAATTTCATTAGACCAAAAAACAATACTGTCACCTCAAACTTATCATTGAAATAGGTAATTAACAATAAGAAAGATCAACAATCTCAGATTATAGACTTATTTTTTAGATTTTTAAAGGGTTTAGACTAGAAATGC